TTTATAATTTTGTTCCATAAATAAATTTTGATCCAAAGAATTGAATATAATAGAAAATAATTTCAGTTTTGGAATAAACTAGAGGATCTGAAATGAGATTTATGCTATTTTATAATTTTGTTCCATAAATAAATTTTGATCCAAAGAATTGAATATAATAAAAAATAATTTCAGTTTTGGAATAAACTAGAGGATCTGAAATGAGATTTATGCTATTTTATAATTTTGTTCCATAAATAAATTTTGATCCAAAGAATTGAATATAATAGAAAATAATTTCAGTTTTGGAATAAACTAGAGGATCTGAAATGAGATTTATGCTATTTTATAATTTTGTTCCATAAATAAATTTTGATCCAAAGAATTGAATATAATAGAAAATAATTTCAGTTTTGGAATAAACTAGAGGATCTGAAATGAGATTTATGCTATTTTATAATTTTGTTCCATAAATAAATTTTGATCCAAAGAATTGAATATAATAGAAAATAATTTCAGTTTTGGAATAAACTAGAGGATCTGAAATGAGATTTATGCTATTTTATAATTTTGTTCCATAAATAAATTTTGATCCAAAGAATTGAATATAATAGAAAATAATTTCAGTTTTGGAATAAACTAGAGGATCTGAAATGAGATTTATGCTATTTTATAATTTTGTTCCATAAATAAATTTTGATCCAAAGAATTGAATATAATAGAAAATAATTTCAGTTTTGGAATAAACTAGAGGATGTGAAATGAGATTTATGCTATTTATAATTTTGTTCCATAAATAAATTTTGATCCAAAGAATTGAATATAATAGAAAATAATTTCAGTTTTGGAATAAACTAGAGGATCTGAAATGAGATTTATGCTATTTTATAATTTTGTTCCATAAATAAATTTTGATCCAAAGAATTGAATATAATAGAAAATAATTTCAGTTTTGGAATAAACTAGAGGATCTGAAATGAGATTTATGCTATTTTACAATTTTGTTCCACCAAGTTTTGCCTCGACCGAACTTTGTAAGACCGAGTTTTGCCACTCACCCAACAAAATAAACAGAGAAAAAAAAATATTTTTTACACAATTTTGCCTATAAAACATCAAATACTAAGGAAAATTGACCCCATTCCGAGGTAAGGAAAAATGCGATCCGAGCACTCATTTCATATACTGCCAAAGGTTTAATGTTTTTAGCTATTTTTATTGTATAAGCTCACGCGTAAATTCAGGTGTCTTCGCTAACCAACTAAGCCACAAGTACCGCGATGAAAGGCAAATCTCAGCCTCTGCCTATTTTAAGATGCTGTATAGCCTAATTGTTTCAAAATGGGTGGAAAAGTTTCAACAAACGTTGACTCCTTCAGATCCTTTGACTACTCCACAAAATGATCGGCCTTGCATCCTTTGTATGGATTTCCAAAGGTTTTGCTGGTTATTTTTATTTTCTAATTTTCTATAAATTTAGGGAAGGAAGCCTAAAGAGATGAAAATGACTGGGAAGAAATGTTTGTTTTTAATTGATAAATTGGTTTCTGGTTATTTTTATTAAGTCTAATGCTCCGGAGTTAACTTTTGGGAGTTTTCCAGTTCGTGTCTGGCTAACACAAGGAACAGACAAATCAAGGAACGACAGGTCAAGGAATGACCAACTCATGGAATATTTTAAAAATCAGAATTTTTCAGAATTTATTTTTAAATTCTGTTTATTGAAGTATTCTAATTTGTTTTAAATTCTTATTTTTTAAAAATATTCAGATTTTTCAAAAAATTCCGATTTTTAAAATATTCCTTGAATTGGTATGTTCCATCAGTTGATCGTTCCTTGACTTGTCTCTTCCTTGAGTTGGTATTCCTTGAGTTAGCCCCCACCCTTCCAGTTCATGTATCCCATTAAGAACAAAATGACCATAGATTCCAACCCAAAAAAGCGTTAAGAAGCCAACCCCAGATTATCAAATATCAAAAAGAAAACGCGTAACTCTTGTAGAGACGCATAGAGATCGAGCTTTGGCTGTGTCAAGGCCTGGGTTTTTCCTGTACCCAGAGACCAGGCCCAGGCATTTTTTGACCTTCCTGGGATTTTCCTGGACATGCCTAGGATCCGGCCCATCCTCTCCCAATAAAGCAAACCCAGGAACAGGCCCAGGCTTTTCAAACATCTCGATCTATAGAGACGCATAGACAGGGCAAGGGGTCGCTTTAGTATAGCTACACCGAGATCGAAACTTGAAGTATATACCATTCGATTCGTCTCTCCGAGCTGAGTTCAAATATGCAAGAATTTTCTGCGGGAGACGAAAACTCGCAGAGATACAGGCCCCCGAAAATTGAAAAACCATAGGGGGGACCAAGCACTTTTTTGGGGTGAAAAATTCGATAAGCAAATGATAGCTCATTCGAAAGAGCTCCTCGAGCTGAGTCGAATGACACCAAAACCATCTTGATTGCACAAGTTTTGACAAAGTTACGATAGAAAAACTACCAACATAAACCTATGGGTCGACGGCGAGGCGCTTGTGCAAAACCCCGCGCTTCGCGCGGGGTTTTGCGGCACGCGCCTCGCGGGGAGTCTACGGGCGATGGGTCTGGGCTCGTAACATAAACCTATTCCTATCTCCCTTGTTCTGGACGTATTTGGGGCCTCCGTAGTTGCAAAAATCTCCACAGATGCCATAGGTAAGGAGCTAAAACAAACGGTCATAACTTTTTCAAATCAAGTCGGATTTCGTTGATTTTGGTGTCATCGACTCAGCTCGAGGAGCTCTTTCGAATGAGCTATCATTTGCAAATTCGAATTTTTCACCCCAAAAAAGTGCTTGGTCCCCCCTATGGATTTTCAACTTTCGGGGGCCTGTATCTCTGCGAGTTTTCGTCTCCCGCAGAAAATTCATGCATATTTGAACTCAGCTCGGAGAGACGAATCGAATGGTATATACTTCAAGTTTCGATCTCGGTGTAGCTATACTAAAGTACTGCCCAGGGCAAGAACCTTTCTGAACATTTATTTTAAAGTTACGACTGGATATGTTTATTTTGCTTGTCCCAGCCTTAAATATAAAGCGCTTCAAAAGCATTAAAAATATTTTTTTCAACAGGGAAAAGTATCAACTTCCAATTGGCCTTCGTGATTATTGCGCTCATCTCGCCGTTCCTTTTATGGATTGCCAGAGGAAACATAGACCGTTTGCACCTCATTTTTGTTCTGGACTCCACCACGAATGGGTTCACTGTCAATACAAGGTTTGCTCTTTTTTATTAACAAGAAAAGCAACGAATTGTTTATTAAGTGTCATTTTCTTTCTCTAAAATATAATGAGCAGAGGTGGACTCGCAATTTTAATCTTTAAATCCGTAGCCGCAATCCGCGTCAAAATAAGCAATCCGCAATTGCGTTAAGCCTGATCACGAGCGGTCTTCTTTAAAATATTGACTAAAGGGCACTTTTGGCTTGTGGATTTGCTTTATATTTTTAGCTTTTCTCTAATTTCTAACTATTTTTGGGCAACAACTATTGTGTCTTCAAAGTATAGAGGGATAGGAAATTGATGTCCTACTTGGAAATAGGGATCAGCGATTTTAAAGCTTCGAGGTCGATTCCTTCTTCAATATGAAAGAGCTTGACCAGTTTTTTGACTAAAGTCAAGAGAGGTTTGGGTCCAGCGGGTTGGTTTTTTAGCGTTAAGATTTGGGTTTGAGTCCAGCGTAAAGACTATCCAGATAAGAAATCGTAAAATTTTGCGGACAAATTTTTCGACAGTAAAAAGTCCGCAAAAAAATTATCATTTAAAAATATTTTTCCTTAACAATTTTTCTATTAAATTTTTAGGAAGAAATTGATCGTCGAAAAGAATATGAACGTGAAAAGCGTCTTCTTTAACGAAAAGCTCGTAAAGAAAAACTTGCACGTGAACAGGCTTAAGCGTGATTGTTAGATTTACTTTGTGTTGGTTTATAGGTATTTAAATTTTGTAAATTTGGCAATCCAGGAGAATTGGGGTTTCTTCGAATAAGAAGTTAAAAAATAAGAAAAAGGGTTTTTCTAGGGTAAAAAAATACGCTAATTACGAATCTGAACTCGGATTTTGAAAAAGTCGAATCCCGAACCCGAACCGAATTTCGGACCCTGAACCCGGATTTCGAATACGCAAATGATAGCTCGTTCGAAAGAGCTCATCGAGCTGCATCGAATGACACCAAAATCAACGCGATCGGACCTGTTTCGACAAAGTTATTACATAAAGTATACCTATGGTAGTACTGTAGGAGTCGGCGACTTATGTCATAACTTTGTCAAAACTTGATGAATCACTGTAATTTTGGTGTCATTCGACTCAGCTCGACGAGCTCTTTCGAATGAGGCATCATATGTATAAACTTTTTTTACTCCAAAAAATCACCCCTATGATTTTTTAATATTCCGGCGTCTGTATCTCGGTCCAGCCACGTCGGATTTCATCGATTTTGGTGTCATTCGATGCATCTCGATGAGTTCTACCAGCATATGAAAGACTGACCATTTTGTACAATGTCCAACAATGTCCGGAGTCAAATTCCGAATTCGGGTTCGGGATTCGACTTTTTCAAAATCCGAGTTCAGATTCGTAATTAGCGTATTTTTTTACCCTAGAAAAACCCTTTTTCTTATATTTTAACTTCTTATTCGAAGAAACCCCAATTCTCCTGGATTGCCGTAAATTTTTTGTGATTTTTTTGAATTTTTAATCAATTCTAAATTGTAGGAATACCTTTTTTAATTTTTTAAATCCCAAAAATTTTTGCGGACATCCGCATCTTTTTGCGGATTGTTATAAAATTGGAACAATTAAGCATTTTTGAAGTGGATTTGAATATTTGAGGTCATTTATAAGAGTTTAGGTCCACACATGTGTTTTTAAAGCTTGGGGTTGAACCAAAAAATAGATCCCAATTCCAAAAAATTTTTGAGGAGTATACCAATCCAGGGTATCTTATGATTTCAACGAATTACCCAAAAGGAACGGCTACTTTACAGAATAACCATATTTAAAATATCTACTTTTATCCCCAAAACCTAATTCCCAAGAAAATTTTAAACCCCAATACGTCTTTTTCCCCAACCCGACCCATCCCTTATTTGTATTATCGAATTTTTATTGTTTTGGATAACTTTAAATTTTTGAAACTTTTTTATTGAATAAATCCTTAATTTACAAAAAATATTTGCATAAAATTATTATGGAGGAGGAAAAATTGTATCATATTGTTCCTCAAAATAATCACAAAACAATCCCTTAATTCCTTGTTTTTGATTAATTGATAATGCATTAAATTCTGCCTCCATCTCCTTTGGAAGAAGAATTGTTGTCATCCCTAATTTAACTGCAGCATCAATTTTGTACACTAAACCACCAATAGCCATAAGTTTCCCATCGGGATACAATGCACCCGTAGCCACCAATCCTTAAAGTAATGTAAAATTAAATGAAAGAAAAGAAAATTTTTATTATTTCAATCAGGGGCTTTTTAATTTCTAAAAACGCAAGAAAGGCCATAAATCAACGCAAAATGCAAGAACGCAAAATTGGGAAATTTTTTTAAATAAATATTAACCATTCTTCAGTTAAAAATTGAAGATAAGTCAGCGAGCCCTACTCGATTTTGTGATAATATAGGTTGGATGAATTCTGAAAGGTATCAGAGGATTTAGAGGGATCAAAGGGGGTTTAACGAAATAGCGGGGGGGGGGGGGGGGATTACGGAAATTCATGGAATTTGGAGGGATCAATTAGACTTAAGAAGATACTATGGGATTACCGACGGATGTCAAATGATTTGGGGAGATAGTGTAGGCCAAAGTGATATCAGCAGGTATGAATTGATGTCGGGGATTTCAAGGTATTTGGAGGGATAACGGGAGATCTGCGCTCCAGATTGAATCGATATTTTTCTGGGCCGTTCCATGATGGAAAATTGGTATTTAAATAATCACTTTTAACGCCGCAGGCAAAAATTTCGAGAATTTTGGAAAGCCAGATCTCTTCAATTTCTGCCCTCCGATTGGATATATTTCTTGCATTTTTTGCGTTAATTCAAGCTAAATTGACGCAACAAAAAAAGCAACGCAAAATCGGAAAACGCAAAAATATCAAAAACGAAACAAATTTAAAGTACCTTTCATCGGTTGAAGATTTAAAATCCGGCTCATAATAGCAATAATAATTGCTATTCCGCCGGATTCCCCATCTCTGTTGACGTTTGGCTAAAATTTAAAGTGAATTTTAATAAGTTTTTTAACTTTTTAAAAATTATTATAAGCTTAATTATTTTCCTAAAAATAAATTCGCAAATTAGAGAAAATCCCTAAAACATGCAAAATGTGAAAACTGTATGTGTTTCAAAAATTTTTTTGAAAATAGGCTCATTCAGAATTAGCCCCCCCCCCTCCCACTTTGCAAAAATTTCCCAATTAATTTCCAAATAAATAGCTTACAGGCAAGAAATCAAAAACAAATTTCGTTTTATTGTCCGGCATCATCTGAATTCCTCTACTTTCACAAAATCTTTCAACATATAACATAGCCCGCATAGTTGAGTACTGTACTGGTATTGGTACACCAGGCATAAATTTATAATCAGAAGCCATTGGGATAGCTGTTCGTGATACGCTTATGGTATGGACTTCCCCTCTATAAATTGTCTCCTTTGTTGTTTCATCAGTTTTATCTACTAAATAATGAAAACATTAAAAACGCCAGGCGTTTATTAAAAAATTTTTTCTGAAAATAAGCAACCTCTTCTCCCTCCCCCCCCTCGCCCTTCTCTTCTCCCCCCCCCCCCCTCCCCATTTGTTTTTTGTTTGTCTTGTTATTTTCGCAACTTATTTTCAGTTTAAAAAATTATTTTTATACTCATAATTCTATTAAAAATCTGAAATTTTAGTCAAAAAAATTCCAACACAAAATTAAAATTAAGGACTGTTAAAAAAGGAAACCCCCCTCCCAAATTGGTTCATTTTCCAAATTTAATTCCAAAAAATAAAAAAAATCTCACAGGCACATGCGAGCATTGGAAATGTGCCAATTGGCAAAGTAACTTTTTTTGGATTTGTAGCTTTCGCATAATAAGATGAATTTTGAATTTGTCCATCATCGAGTAACGTTCCTGATGTGTATGACTAAAAATAATTTTTTTTAATAAAAATTTAAAAAATTCGTATTTCCAATATGTAATATTCAATAAAATTCTCTCCCTAAAAGAATATTTCAGAAAAGTTTTTCCAAAAATTTTCCCCTCAAAAGAAAAACCTCCTCCCCCCAAAAAATTTTTTTTCGACTATAGTTAAAGAAATCTAATTTTCCAAAATTTAAAAGAAATATTTACATTTGCAAAAATATTTGAATCTGAAGGAGATCGCTTGATTTTTTCACAACATGTTAAACAAATCTCCGAACTTCGTCTGGTTAAGAAAAGTTTTTCTTCAAAAATAGCTTTGACATCTGAAAAAAATAAGACTTATATTTTTTATATTTCCAAAACTTAATACATTTGAATACATTTTTGACCAAAAAATAATTTTTTGTTTTTGGTTTTTTGAAATTTAAATAATTTTTGATTTAAAAAGAATTTTTTTAAATTTTATATTCGAAAAGAAATTTATTTTCTAAAAATCGTCGTATTTTTTGTAAGATTTTTTTTCCCAAATTATTTTCAAATTTAATATATTAATTAAGCATAATACCGTATTTATTCTAATAGAGTGGCCGCCACTCTATTTTTCGATACCCCCAAAAAGGGGCCATTCTATTGGAGGGGCCATTCTAATGGAGGTGGCCATTCTATTTTTCATAGGTAAAAATCAGAGATAGGATGAATCAAATGTTCGATCGAATATTTTTTGACTTCGAAATTTAATCGATTTTTCGTGTAAAATTCTATATTTTCGACTTTGGTTAGTGAATCTTCATTTTTGTAACACTATAAAACATAAAAATCTTTTGCCTGCTGGGCAAAAAAGCAACTTTTTATTTACTTTGGTGCCAGACAATCAAAATTTCCGGTATAGTTTGCTCATAAAAGTTCGTGGGATCTCGGAATTTGGACGTAATATATGGGAATTGGGAGAGATTTGGAGGGATATTGATTAGTAATTAAAATTCTAAACTACCAAAAATTCCAAAATTTTCCTATGTCTTCAAGGGTCCTGAAATATCCAGAATTTTATCCCAAATCTCAATCAATCCATCATTATTCCTCAAAATCCTATGTCCCTGCAAGTCCCCTGATAAAATAAATGTATCCAACTAAGGTTGTCGGATAGATGAATTCCTCGGATATCCGGATCCAATATCCGAACCGGATCCGACAACCTTATATCCAACTTCCTTATATCGTCAAATTCATAAATATCTATTAATTCTCTTAATCCCATGCATCTTCATTAAATCGTTGTAATTTCTTGATATCTCTCCTAATCCTCTCAAATCCCTTAATATCCCTCTTAATCTCCCTTTTATGACTCCAAATTTGCTCAAAAATATTATGCTTATCCTCACTAAAGAGTAATATTTAATACATAATAGGAAAATAAAGAAATGTATTCAGGCATATACTTATTAGTTAAAAGGGCCATTCTATTAGAGGGCCATTCTAATGGAGGTGGCCATTCTATTTTTCATTACCCCCAAAATGGGGCCATTCTATTGGAGGGGCCATTCTAATGGAGGGGCCATTTTATTAGAATAAATACGGTATATTAATTTTTTAATTTTGTATTTCGACAAAAAATTCTATTCGAATTATTACAGAATTATTTTCTTAAAATTTAAATTTTTTTAATATTAAATTATTTAATTTTAAAAAATTATTTTCACTTAATTTATCAAATTAATTTTTTGAAAATAAAATCGGAAAAAAATTTTAACGAAAAAAAAATACTTAAATTTCAAAAAAGATCGAAAATTAATTTTTTAAAATATTTTTTACCAAAATTTTGATTAATTTTCAAAAAAATTTAATTTTATATTTAAATAATATTTTTACCTTTTTTATCAACAATAGGCGGAGGCACTTCTTCAGTATTGTTTTCTTCATTATTATTTTCTTCATTATTTTGTTCCTCATCATTCAATAAATTATTTTCAGTTTCTTCGTTTATTTCTTGATCATAAATCTTTAAAAATTTTAACATGCATTTTAATTTAATTTATTTTAAATTTAAAAAAATTTCCCCGAAGATTTTTCTATCATATCAAAATACATTCTATTTTATATACATTCTTCTTTTTTCCACAAAAAAAATTCACTAATATTAATTTATTTTTTTATTTATTTATTGAGCAAAAATGATTAAAATTTCAAAAATATAAACACAACAAAAACACACTTACTCGCATACACATTAACAAAAAATATTAAACTCTCCGGAAACGAAAACACAAAATACACCCCCACATGTTTTAAAAACACAAAACAAGAAAATTAAAAAGAAAATACAAATTAAACAGAACTTTCCGGAAAATACAGAAAAAATAATTATTTTCCGGAAAACACACAAATACAAAGCAATATAAAACAGTCCGGAAAGCATTCAGAAAAATAAATTAAACTAAACTTTCCGGAAAGCTAGCCACAAATAAATAAATTTTCCCTTAATTTTCCAATGAATCTCTTCCCTTTTTACGTTCAACTTTAATTTAAATATTTAAAAAATTATTAAATTTTATTTTTTGTTAATAAAACTTTAGTAAATTTTTTAAGCAAATAATTAAATTTATTAAATTAAATTTATTTTTAAAAATAAAAATTTTATGATTTTTCCTTAATTGGAGACGTGAATTTCTTTTAAAATATTAATGACTGCCATTTGATCATTTTTTAATTTTTTAATAACACTTGCAGGAAAATAAATCAATAAGAAACACAAACTAAGGAAAATAATTTTCCGGAAACATTTAAAATAAAATATAATTAAAGGAAAGTTTTCGGAAAATACAAAATATTTTTCCGAAAGGTTTTAAAAATAAATAAAATACTTTCCGGAAAGTTTCCGGAAAAATTATTGTATTTATTTGTGTTTTCCGGAAAATATTATTTTCATTCTAGATTTTTCCGGAAACTCCGGTAATTATTTTCCGGAAATTATTTGCTTTAGTTTGTGTTTTCCGGAAAATTGCTAAAATATGAATTCTAAAACTAAGAAATTAGAGATTTTTAAAAAAATAAATTGAAAATTAATTTTCCGGAAAAATTAAACAAAAGATTAATTCTCAATTCAAACAAAAACTTATAGACATGAAATATTTTCCGGAATTTTTTAAAAGTAAAAGGATAATTTAGTTTTTTCAGAATAGGCAAGCAAGAAAGAAAAATATGATAAAAATGAAAAGAAAGATGGAGTAAAAAACACGAAAAATAAAAATATAAAATTACCAGGTTTGTTACCAGGTTGAAACGGAAAAATATGATTTAAACTTTCCGGAAAACACAAAATAAATAATAAAATATTTTCCACAGTTTCCGGAAATAAGAATATATTTTTCCGGAAAACACAAAATAATTTAATATTTTCCAGTTTCCGGAAAAAAACAAAAATAACAATATAATTTTCCGGAAAATAAAATAAAGCTTTCCGGAAAATTAATGACAAGGAAAGAAAAATTAAAATTTTCCGGAAAATACAAATAAAAGTAAATAAAACATTTCCGGTTTTTCGAAAGTATCAGAAATAGACAAGAGAACGAAAAGTAGTAAACTTACGTTTTTAAATTTCTTCGCATATATCATATTATTAAGTAAATAAACAAAAAATGTTTTTATTTTAAAAAGGATCCAAATGACAGTAAATTATACATATTTTTTAAAAGAAAGAAACGTCTCCGATTAAGGAGAATTTCGAAATTTTAATTTTTTAAAATAAATTAATTTAATAAAATTTTTAATTAATTGCCTAAAAATGTTTCTCAAAAATTTTTAGTAACAAAAAAAAATCAAATTTCAACAAAAAAATTTTAAAAAATTTTCAGAATTTCAAAAAAAATATATTTTTTGGATATTTCAAAATTAAAAAAAAGCCTCTTAAATTAAAAGAACCCTCTTAAATAAATCTTATCACTAAAGCATTATAACACAGATGAAGCCGAATTCCACCTACAGTTTTAATTAATCCTAAAGAGGAAAATATTTGGAACAAAACAATTAAGCTGATCTAATCATCCATTAACTTCAGCAATCATATACATTCACATAATAATACAGTTTTAAGATTTTTATTGGGCGGGGTTTTTAAATGGGGCTTTTTATTATAAACTCAAACAAATTTACAAGGTAACATTCTTCCAAAGAAATTCAAAAAAGGGGAAAACAATTTTTTATTATTTGAATCATCCAATAAGAGCCAGAAAAAACTAACTCTGCAACTAGTTATATTATTACGATTTTGGCAACGACAGAAGTACAAAAATTTTTTGTAGTTTATTCTATAAGATTTTAATAATTATCTCCAATTATGACTTTTAAAATAAAAAGTATGATTTTACTTAAATTTTGATTGAGATAATTCTGATTTTAAATTCTTATATTAATTTTGATTTCTGTTTAAATTTTGATCTCTGATTTTAATTTATTCTCTTGAAAAGTTGATGATAGAAAATTGAGAATTAAAAGTTGACAATTGAAAAATTGACGTTGTTTAATAGTTCATATTTGATATATCGTTGACAATAAATAGATGAAAGTTCTTGAATAGTTGATGATAGAAAATTGAGAATTGTAAATTGAGAATCAAAAGTTGACAATTGAAAAATTGACGTTGTTTAATAGTTCATATTTGATATATCGTTGACAATAAATAGATGAAAGTTCTTGAATAGTTTATGATAGAAAATTGAGAATTGTAAATTGAGAATCAAAAGTTGACAATTGAAAAATTGACGTTGTTTAATAGTTCATATTTGATATATCGTTGACAATAAATAGATGAAAGTTCTTGAATAGTTGATGATAGAAAATTGAGAATTAAAAGTTGACAATTGAAAAATTGACGTTGTTTAATAGTTCATATTTGATATATCGTTGACAATAAATAGATGAAAGTTCTTGAATAGTTGATGATAGAAAATTGAGAATTGTAAATTGAGAATCAAAAGTTGACAATTGAAAAATTGACGTTGTTTAATAGTTCATATTTGATATATCGTTGACAATAAATAGATGAAAGTTCTTGAATAGTTTATGATAGAAAATTGAGAATTGTAAATTGAGAATCAAAAGTTGACAATTGAAAAATTGACGTTGTTTAATAGTTCATATTTGATATATCGTTGACAATAAATAGATGAAAGTTCTTGAATAGTTGATGATAGAAAATTGAGAATTAAAAGTTGACAATTGAAAAATTGACGTTGTTTAATAGTTCATATTTGATATATCGTTGACAATAAATAGATGAAAGTTCTTGAATAGTTGATGATAGAAAATTGAGAATTGTAAATTGAGAATCAAAAGTTGACAATTGAAAAATTGACGTTGTTTAATAGTTCATATTTGATATATCGTTGACAATAAATAGATGAAAGTTCTTGAATAGTTTATGATAGAAAATTGAGAATTGTAAATTGAGAATCAAAAGTTGACAATTGAAAAATTGACGTTGTTTAATAGTTCATATTTGATATATCGTTGACAATATATAGATGAAAGTTCTTGAATAGTTGATGATAGAAAATTGAGAATTGTAAATTGAGAATCAAAAGTTGACAATTGAAAAATTGACGTTGTTTAATAGTTCATATTTGATATATCGTTGACAATAAATAGATGAAAGTTCTTGAATAGTTGATGATAGAAAATTGAGAATTGTAAATTGAGAATTAAAAGTTGACAATTGAAAAATTGACGTTGTTTAATAGTTCATATTTGATATATCGTTGACAATAAATAGATGAAAGTTCTTGAATAGTTGATGATAGAAAATTGAGAATTGTAAATTGAGAATCAAAAGTTGACAATTGAAAAATTGACGTTGTTTAATAGTTCATATTTGATATATCGTTGACAATAAATAGATGAAAGTTCTTGAATAGTTGATGATAGAAAATTGAGAATTGTAAATTGAGAATCAAAAGTTGACAATTGAAAAATTGACGTTGTTTAATAGTTCATATTTGATATATCGTTGACAATAAATAGATGAAAGTTCTTGAATAGTTGATGATAGAAAATTGAGAATTGTAAATTGAGAATTAAAAGTTGACAATTGAAAAATTGACGTTGTTTAATAGTTCATATTTGATATATCGTTGACAATAAATAGATGAAAGTTCTTGAATAGTTGATGATAGAAAATTGAGAATTGTAAATTGAGAATCAAAAGTTGACAATTGAAAAATTGACGTTGTTTAATAGTTCATATTTGATATATCGTTGACAATAAATAGATGAAAGTTCTTGAATAGTTGATGATAGAAAATTGAGAATTGTAAATTGAGAATTAAAAGTTGACAATTGAAAAATTGACGTTGTTTAATAGTTCATATTTGATATATCGTTGACAATAAATAGATGAAAGTTCTTGAATAGTTGATGATAGAAAATTGAGAATTGTAAATTGAGAATCAAAAGTTGACAATTGAAAAATTGACGTTGTTTAATAGTTCATATTTGATATATCGTTGACAATAAATAGATGAAAGTTCTTGAATAGTTGATGATAGAAAATTGAGAATTGTAAATTGAGAATCAAAAGTTGACAATTGAAAAATTGACGTTGTTTAATAGTTCATATTTGATATATCGTTGACAATAAATAGATGAAAGTTCTTGAATAGTTGATGATAGAAAATTGAGAATTGTAAATTGAGAATTAAAAGTTGACAATTGAAAAATTGACGTTGTTTAATAGTTCATATTTGATATATCGTTGACAATAAATAGATGAAAGTTCTTGAATAGTTGATGATAGAAAATTGAGAATTGTAAATTGAGAATTAAAAGTTGACAATTGAAAAATTGACGTTGTTTAATAGTTCATATTTGATATATCGTTGACAATAAATAGATGAAAGTTCTTGAATAGTTGATGATAGAAAATTGAGAATTGTAAATTGAGAATTAAAAGTTGACAATTGAAAAATTGACGTTGTTTAATAGTTCATATTTGATATATCGTTGACAATAAATAGATGAAAGTTCTTGAATAGTTGATGATAGAAAATTGAGAATTGTAAATTGAGAATCAAAAGTTGACAATTGAAAAATTGACGTTGTTTAATAGTTCATATTTGATATATCGTTGACAATAAATAGATGAAAGTTCTTGAATAGTTGATGATAGAAAATTGAGAATTGTAAATTGAGAATTAAAAGTTGACAATTGAAAAATTGACGTTGTTTAATAGTTCATATTTGATATATCGTTGACAATAAATAGATGAAAGTTCTTGAATAGTTGATGATAGAAAATTGAGAATTGTAAATTGAGAATCAAAAGTTGACAATTGAAAAATTGACGTTGTTTAATAGTTCATATTTGATATATCGTTGACAATAAATAGATGAAAGTTCTTGAATAGTTGATGATAGAAAATTGAGAATTGTAAATTGAGAATCAAAAGTTGACAATTGAAAAATTGACGTTGTTTAATAGTTCATATTTGATATATCGTTGACAATAAATAGATGAAAGTTCTTGAATAGTTGATGATAGAAAATTGAGAATTGTAAATTGAGAATTAAAAGTTGACAATTGAAAAATTGACGTTGTTTAATAGTTCATATTTGATATATCGTTGACAATAAATAGATGAAAGTTCTTGAATAGTTGATGATAGAAAATTGAGAATTGTAAATTGAGAATCAAAAGTTGACAATTGAAAAATTGACGTTGTTTAATAGTTCATATTTGATATATCGTTGACAATAAATAGATGAAAGTTCTTGAATAGTTGATGATAGAAAATTGAGAATTGTAAATTGAGAATTAAAAGTTGACAATTGAAAAATTGACGTTGTTTAATAGTTCATATTTGATATATCGTTGACAATAAATAGATGAAAGTTCTTGAATAGTTGATGATAGAAAATTTAGAATTGTAAATTGAGAATCAAAAGTTGACAATTGAAAAATTGACGTTGTTTAATAGTTCATATTTGATATATCGTTGACAATAAATAGATGAAAGTTCTTGAATAGTTGATGATAGAAAATTGAGAATTGTAAATTGAGAATCAAAAGTTGACAATTGAAAAATTGACGTTGTTTAATAGTTCATATTTGATATATCGTTGACAATAAATAGATGAAAGTTCTTGAATAGTTGATGATAGAAAATTGAGAATTGTAAATTGAGAATTAAAAGTTGACAATTGAAAAATTGACGTTGTTGATAGTCTATATTATTTATCTCTGATAGAAGAGTTAGCAAGGCAAAAGATTTCCTGTGAATATATAAGAGTTAGCAAGGCAAAAGATCCGACTATTGATGAGTGAAAGAGTATAAGTCAAGCAATTGATGAGAGCTGTATGTTAATAGGTGAGAGGTCAGTAATAGTTTTTGATATTATATATGTCAATAGATACGATATATTAGGTTTGTGAGAGAAGTCAATAGTAAGAGTCAATGGTTGACGAAAAAAATTTGTTAATGGTAAAGATTTGTGATGATTTTTGTGATATATCAGTAATTGCCTGTTACTGAAAAGTTCTACATTGACGACTGAGGTTCTAATCATGAGTTGTTTTTATTTTCATGTTTTTGTAATGATTTAGACTTTGGCTAGTGGATAAATTTCCAATTAATAAAACAGACAATTTTCCTGTGAATATATAAGAGTTAGCAAGGCAAAAGATGTAGGTTGTGGGAAAAAACGGGAAAATGTTAATAAGAAAAAATGTTAAATCGCAAAAAATCTGTTAATTTTGTCCGCAAGAATAGTCAGCAAAAAATTTGATCTTTAGAGTTTAAAAAAATGGAAAAAATATGATATTTAAGCCAATTTTTTACAAATTTATTTTTACACCGAAAAATTTTTCTAATTTATTAAATTTACAGAAATCCCGGTTCTCATTCAAAAAATTTAACCAGACTTGCAAACCACACCCTCCAATAATCACACACAGAAAAATGTCAAAAAAATCACACAAAAAATCACAAATTCTAGGACCCCCAGAAATTGGATTTTATACCAATGCATCCCAACTTTTAAAAAATAAACATTAGACAAACAACCTGTACATTTCCAATTTGTTTCTCTTCATCCAGTTCAATTTTTGGTGGATTTATGGTTGAGCTTGGTTGTTCCACATCCAAACAACACAATAAAAAAATAATCACACCAGCCAGAAGAAAGATGAGAGGCACTCCAATAGCAAGGATCGTTGCTTCACCACCACCAGCAGCTACTTGTTGTATAAATGAACTGAAGACAAGCAACTTCAGCATATAAGCCAGCCCCCCTAGAGTACGCCTACTCAAAGGGACCCTAGGGGGCGCTTTCTTGCTCTTTTGTTGAAACTAAAAAATAAATATAAGCTTGCACACAGCCCGATGGAAGGGGGATTCGAAAATATTTTTAAAAAGACCCTTAATTGCTGAATTCCCAGGAAAAAAATTTTTTTTAATTTTTACACTAAAATTACAGGGAAATTCGACAATATTTTTTTAAATCGTTTTGTTTTTCGGTAATGTTAAAATATATTTAATTAAAAAATTATACCAAAGGCAATTTCTGAATTTTAATAAATTTTGCCGACAGTTGAATTTTCCAATCAATATTTAATTTGCCATTTTTTGAGTGAATTGACCTTAATGATAGAAAGGTTATTAATTTCGATTTAATAATATAAAAATGTTGATTTAAGCACAAAAATATTGTTACTTTTAACACCCCTAAATTATGATTTGGCCTAAAAACTTATTTCAGGGCAAATGGTGTCAATGAGGCCCCAGCCTTGGGTGAGGAGTAACTCAAGGAATTCCAAATCACGGAATAACCAACTCAAGGACCAACTCAAGGAGCAGACAGTTCACAGGACTACCAATCATGGAACGACCAAATCAATCCTTGGCTTATCTATTCCATGATTTGGTTGTTCCTTGTCTTGTCCGTTCCTTGAGTTAGCCCGACACGCCCGGGCTTTCACAACTCAGTCAGACAAAACTCCGTTTAATCGGGAGGGAGACTGGTAAGACCAATTTTTGCCCCTCCCCACACTAAAACACTTTGGGTATTTTCCGAGTTTTGCCCTCCCCTAATTGTTCACCAAAAGTTTAATAGTTGTCAATCATTCTTCCTATAGAAATTCATTTCCTATGTTAAATTGGGGAATTCATTCGTAAAAATATGAGGTAATTTTTACCCCATGTCACCCAGGCCTCCAAAGGATTAACGGTTTAATTTGAATATAATAAAGGAGTATGCCATAGGGAAATGGGGAGAGGAAGAATGTCAGACCTTTTGATGAACTAAAAGGAGAGGGGAAAAACCTCGGACTTATTTTGCGAAAACTTCTAAAGCAACCCCCCTATAATTAAACACAAACTTGTTTAACTCTCTACTAGAAGCAAAATTTCCAAAGAAAACATCATCCAAAAGACGTTCATCCAGTTCAAAAAAATTTCCCAAAATTAAGAAAATTCGTGTTTTTAAAGCATTAAAAATGTGTGCTGATTTTGCTGCTCTTTTCTTGAAATTCAATTTGTTTAAGCCATTTTTTGATTTACGACGAATCACGACACTAATTAAACCCTAAAGGTTTTTAGGTAAAAAGGTGGGTACTTTTCCGTTCTGCCACCCTAAATTAATGCTCAATACGTTATAGGGGAATAAAAGGAGCTGACATGAGCAGAGGTGAGTCGGAACAGTCAGAGGTGTCGGAGATTGGAACTGGCTCAAAAGTCAAAACTCGGAAATCAAAATTTTTTCGGAAGTCAGAAATCTGAATTCCGACCCCCCTCTGATGCTAAGTCGAACGATACCAGTCTTATGGAGATGCCTGAGGACCAGGGATGGGAGGGTTACCCGAACCCGAACTTTTTTCGACCCGAAATCCGACCCGTGAAATTTTTGAAAACCCAACCCAACTTGGTAATTCTTCTGTTCGTACCCCCCACTCATTTTTCCTTCCTCAAAGTGTTAAAAAATGGTCAGTCAATCTTTTGTTATAGAACTCGTCGAGCTGAGTCGAATGACACCAAAATCAACGTAATCGGACGAGTTTAGACAAAGTTATGACATTATTTAGACCTACCGGAGTCGGCAACCTTATGTCATAACTTTGTCAAAACTTATCCGATTACGTTGATTTTGGTGTCATCGACTCAGCTCGATGAGCTCTTTCGAATGAGCTATCATATGTATGCTTTTTCGTCCTTTTGGTTTTTCGCCCCTGTGGTTTTTCAATTTTCAGGGGTCTGTATCTGGGTCAAATCAAGTCGGATTTTGTCGATTTTGGTGTATTCGACACAGCTCGATGGGTTCTATAACTTAAGACTGACAGACCATTTTTAATTCTTTTAGGGAGAAAAAAAGAGTGGGGGGTACGAACCGAAGAATTACCCCCAACTTTTTTATCAAACCGTCCCATCCCTGTTGTGGACCGAAAGAAACAACTTTCATTACCTTATATATAACGTATTGAGCATTAATGTATGGGAGGTGACATAACGGACGAATACCCAAAAGGTTTCGTAAAAATAAAAACAAAAACGAATTTAACCTTTAATGTTCCATCATTTTTATCAACCACAATAACGAACAAAATGCATTTTTTATTAGCCGAAAAATTTTCAGAAAACTTTTTAACAATCAAGGAATTCGACACCTACAAATTATTAAATTTAAATTAAAAACTTAAAAGGTAATAGTGAACCGGACAGATCCCCTTTTTTCCTCCCCAATTTTCCTCCTATATTTTGAAAAATAGTCAGACTTTTCCCCTTTCTTCCATCCAAATTGCCTTTCTAATTTTTGCCTACAATCAAACAAAAAGGATTATTTAATTTTATACAAGGAAATGGCAAAAACAGGTAACTTGTGGAGGAAAAAGGTGAGAAGAAAATAAGGGGGTCTGTCCGGTTCACTATTACCTTTTAAAAAAAATACCATATTCAAGTTTGCCTCATCTGACAATTCTCGGGTACCAGAACATTTAAATAATTCCATTCCCAAGTTGAATTTCGATTTGTTTTGAAAAACAATAAATGTAATCTCCTGCAAAGCCTTTTTGCTTTTTATTTGTTTGTTACTCATTACGGCTATAAATTATTTAAAGTTTTTTTCTAGGGTTGTCGGTTTTCAAGTTGGGAATTTTCTGCTAGGGTTAAGTCATCCAAAAAATTTCTATACAACCCGACAACCCTAAAACAATTTAAAAAGATGTTTCTAAGGATTAAAAACTCTCCGCTTTCTCCCTTTTATACTGTCTTTCTTTTATTTCAAAATTTCCTCGTTTTCAAAGAACGGACCAGTTGAGTACGGCCATTGAGAGTCAGTCATCTTTAATCAACCAGAACTTTTTTAAAACTTGATCCAATCCAAGCGGTTTTTATATCAATCGAAAGCTCTCGATTAGCGCTATCTTTTTTTCAATTCTAAAGATCAAATCTGATCGCTCCTTAAAAAGTTACAACTCGTTAAGTGCAATAATTTGGTGTTTTTCACACTTATTGGCTCATAACTTTCTGAAAAGTGATCAAACCGGATCCATCTAGTTGGAGAAATTATAGTACTAATTGAGACCTTTAAAATGATGTATGACTCATTCGGATCGGATAATGCATAAAAAAGTTATAGCCACTCAAAGATGCCTGCCTATCAACTAGCCAGACTCAACTGCGCATAAGCGAGTTTTTGCCTGAAAAGTCGTTTCAGTGCGAAACGATGAAAAATTACAGTATATTTCTCCTCTTAAACAAGTTTTATTAATAAACTTGGAATCAGAATTAAATAAACATGAACAAATAAAACCAGAATAAAAAACTTTTTTTAAAATAAACTTTCTCAGAATATTAAAAAAAATAAACTTGAAAACAGAAAAATTATTATTATTTATTAAATATTCAGAATTTTATTTCACAATTTTATTTCAGAATTTTGTATAAACTTTAAACTTTAAAACTTGAATCAGAATTAAAAATAAATAAACTTGGAATTATAATTAAAGTTTATTTATACCAAGTCTATTTAAAATTCTGAAATAAATAAACTTGAATCAGAATTATTTGTTCTGATTTAATTTATACAAAAATAAACTTGAATTTATTTAATAAAACCTGAAATAATAAAATCAGAATTATTTAATTTTCAGAATTTTATTAAGAGAATATTTAATTCTGAAATATTTAATTAATTCTGATTATATGTCAAGTTTTATTAAATCAGAATTCAATTTTATTTTTAGTTTCTGTTATAAATTTATTTTAAAAATTCTGATTTATTTTATTTCAAGTTTATTTGCGTTTTTGTATTCTTTGAGTTTATTCTTCATTTAAAGTTTATTTTCTTCTTTAAAGATCAGAATTATTTTTTAAATCAGAATTTAAATATAAAAATCAGAATTTTTAAAAATCAGAATTCCGACTTTAGAATTAATTTCAGAATTTTTTATTTTGTAACTCAGAATTAATCTTCAAAATCAGAATTTTAAATCAAAATTTAAATCAGAATTCTGATTTTATAATAATAAGAATTAATTTTCGGAATTAATTTTAGAAAACCAGAATTTTTCAGAATTTTAAGTTTATAAAAATCAGAATTTAATTTCAAAATCAGAATTATTTTATTTTCAATATCAGAATAAATTTTCAGAATTATTTTTTAATAATCAGAATTAATTTTCAGAATTTTTTCTTTTAAGAATCAGAATTAATTTTCAGAATCGGAATAATTTTCAGAATTATTTTTAAAAATCAGAATTAATTTTCAGAATTTTTCTCTTATTCTGAAATATAATTTAACCTAAACTTTTATTTATTCTGTTCTCTTTTTAAATATTATTCTCGTTTGTTTTTCTTTTCTGTTTTCAATTTCTCGCCCTTTCCCTAATTATTCAAACCTGGCAGAGCGGAACTTATAAGGGTGTAAAAAATAATTTATTTATTTTATATAAATTTTCTTGACTTTTTAATTACAAAATCAGTCATCTTTTTTTGCTTAAAAAAATAAATGTTATACTAATAAATGTTCTTTTCTCTTAAAAATTTTATTTTAATTAATCATCCCTTTTTTTAGCAATTTTTGAGGCAAACAAACCTTTTTAACGGGAAAATTAGCCCTTTTTTACTACTTAAAATTAATTTTTGGTTAGTATAAATAATTAAAAAATTATTTTTTTGGTTAAATTAAATTAGCCATAGGACATCTGATTAAACCCGGGACAGTTTAATTTAAAAAATCCCCACCAGGCATCGAACCCGGCCCCCCTTTGGGGGAAAGTCAGACGCGTTAACCAATACACCAAAAAGTTTTTTGAATTTATGATTGGGTGTAATCAATCAGAATTAAATTTAAAAAATCAGAATTTATCTTAAAATATCAGAACAAAAAATCAGAAAAAACCAGAACAAATTTAAAAAATCAGAATAATATTCAGAATTTAACCTAAAAAATCAGAACAAAGATCAGAATAGGTCAGAATAAATTTTTAAAAAATCAGAACAAAGATCAGAATAAAAATCAGAACAAATTTTAAAAAATCAGAATAAATTTTTAAAAAATCAGAACAAATTTTTAAAAAATCAGAACAAATTTTTAAAAATCAAAATTTCTTTAAAAAATCAGAACAAATCAGAATAAAAAATAATTAAACATATTTTTTTCTACTGATCCATTTTATATTTTTTAACAATTAAAAAAAGAATTTTAAAAATTTTATTTACGTTTAAATAAAATTTATATTTATTTTTGATTGATTACAATTAATTAATAATTTTTAATTTTCTCTTGCGCAATTTTTTTAAATTTAATTAATTTAAAATCCTCCCTCAAATCATTTTTAATTCTTCACCCATTTTCCTAATTTTAAATTCTTAATTTTAAATATTTTATTTTTAAATATTTGTTAAATTAGTCACGGTGTGACTTTTTGTCGTGTCTGGCTAACTCACGGAAAGTACAAGTCGCTGAACGGACAATTCACGGAACGACAATTCGCGGGACGGACAATTCACGGAACGGACAATTCGCGGGACGGACAATTCACGGAACGGACAATTTACGGCACGGACAATCTACGGTACGGACAAGTCGCTGAATGGACAATTCACAGAACGACAAGTCACGGAATTACCAAATCACTAAGGACCAACTCGCCAATGATCAACTAGCTGGTCAAGGATCAGGCTCACCATAATAAAATTCAATTTAGATAATCTTGCTCAAACATACTTATTCTAATAATTCATTAAGTATTAAATTCTTTACCCTATTTTTAATTTTATTGATAAAAATTTTGGGGGTTCCTTCCTTTATTTTATCACATTCATTCTTCGCACCCATCAATTTTTATATTTTTTTAAATTGTTTTGTGATCTAAATTTCTTCCTTTCTTTCTTCTAAATATTCGTTACTAATAAATAAATAAATATTTCTATAATGTCTGGGAGAAGGGGGGGGGGTTGTTGACCACCACCAACCAAACCATTCCTTCCTTCCTTCCCCCCGTTTTTATTGTCTTCTAACCTTTCATCGCCACACACAAATTGCGTCGTTTAGCACGAGATGATTATTGGTTGTGGCGGGTGTTATTAAATATGCCTTTAGGGTATGTGAAAGATGGAGAGGCGATGATTGAAGAAAAATTCGATTTGATAAAAGGAAAGGGAAGGGAAGGAAAAAGGAAGTGAAGGAGGAGGTTAGGAGTGGAGGGAAGAAAATCTAAGAAGAAAGAAAAGGGAGAAAGGAAGTGATCAAGGAGGAGGTTAGGGAGTTGGGGAAAGAAAATGAAGGAAGTTGAAGTGGAGGAAGTAATAAGGAAGTTGGGGAAGGAATCTTTAGAGATGGAGAAAAAAGGATGAATAATAATGAAGGGAAGAGATTGAAGATATGTTTGGAAGGTCTAAGAAAAAGAAAGAATTGGAAGAGATAACAGAAAGTAGTGTAAGAAAGGAGAGTGATTAACTGGCTAACAGGCTCCCTCCGCTTAACCTAGGTGGAGGTTAATAGGAGGGAAAGCAGCGCTCCGGTTGGTAGGTAACAAATATGTAGTAATGTAAGGAAGAAGGTAGTGCACATGTGTACGTATTGTACGAAAGCTTGCAATAACTGCCAGGATGTTCGTGTTGTCCGATGCTAAACTTTTACCCCTTTTTCCTACTGGAGAAAGTAAAACTACAAATCTATGTAAAGTTATCTAATGGTCATCTAGACCAGGGATGGGCCGGGTTACCCGAAACCCGAAACCCGGACTTTTTTTCGACCCGAAACCCGAAACCCGACCCGAGAAATTTTCGAAAACCCGACCCGAAACCCGACATTTTTCATGGAATTTTATTACATAAAGGGAAGGTTTTTGGCTCTTTGGCCTTCCAAAATCCGCAAAATTTTCGCCTGCGGCGCCGATTCTAGACGGACAATAGTCATTTGGGGAATATTTTATAGTACAAAAAGTTTTATTTAAATATTAAAATACATAAATATTCCTGAGGGAAAACTTGAGAGAGGTGTTAAATCTAAATTTATGTTTAAAAGATGGGCACTTTTGATTTTTGAAAAATGAGTGGTGAAAATAAAAACAATCTTCCATCTAGGACTAGTTTGGCTACCTATCATCCACGTCTCTTTACTTATCTTCATCTTCAGTCTTCCATTCCCTTTCATACAATTTATCGTCCAAAACTTCCCCCATTCCTCCCTTCCATGCACAGTCAAATCTTTTTATAACGTTACCGTTCGGGCCGAGTTTTATCGAAGTAGGGACTAAGAGTAGATGGGACGATGTTATGGAGGTTCAACTTCGCATACCTTTACATGGGACACGCTCAAAACGAACTTGCTTCAAGATTTCCAGACCTTTAATTACCCATTGAAATGACAACCCGTACTCTCGAACCTAAAATAAAATTTTGAATATACAACAATTTAAATAGTTTTCCCTTTGTTTATATTAAATATCACATCCAAAACGGGTAGTTCCCCCTCATTCCTCTCTTCTCCCATTTTTCTTCTTTTTAGGAGGCGTTAGGGGAATCACCCCCATCGGCATTATTTTACACTCTCGTCCCTTTCCCCTCTTCAATTTATCGCCCAAAACTTCCCCCAAATTTTCGCTCATTTATTCCCTCTTTTGTCTTTTTTCAAAAATTTTCTAACGCTTCCCCACAGTCAAAAAAGCTCGTTGTTGTTGCCACCCAGTAAAACAAGGGATGTTTCGGCGCGGTTATATTAAGGCGCGCGCCTGTAAAATCTACTAGGGGTGACTTAGAGCTTTGAAATTTTGCACTCATATCCGTGAGAGTGTTATCTATCTTCTCTAAAAATTTCATAATTTTCGGTCAAATATTCCGCAAGTTATTTTGAAAATAGTCGAATGTCTTCCTTTTAGGTAGTTTTTCGACCATAACTTTGGGAATACTGTACCAATAATTTTGAAATTTTTAAGGAAGTTAGATAGCTATATTGAGAACATTTCTGGAAAATTTCATGGCTCTAGCTTGTCATTTGGCTATTTTACAAGCAACGACAGATACGCGGTCGGGCTTCACAAAATTCTTATTTTTCCCTCTTTTTTGTTTTTTTTCTCCCACATTAAAAATTTAAAGTCCCCAAAACAATTAACACACACAACTAAGAATTGTGTTTTTTGATAAGAATGATAGTGTAACACAATTTTGATAAAATTAACTCAATTTTTTACTTTTTATAAATGCACTATAAAAAATAAAAACAGTAAAATCATAACAACGAAATTAGCAACATTCTGATTGAAATAATAAAAAAAACATTAAATATTTTCTTCTGATAAAATATAAAATTAAATTTTAATAATTCTGATTTTCATTTTAAGTGATTTTTTTATAATTTTCTGGTCTTTTCTAACTTTCTTCTGATTTTATTTCTTTATCTGATTTTCTGATTTTATTATGATTTCTTCTGATATTTTTTTTGATTTAATTCTGATTTTCTGGTTTTTCTGATTTTATTTTTCTTGATATTTATTCTGATATTTTTCTGATTTTATTCTGTTCTGATTTTGTTCTGATTTTTTGATTTTTTCTGATTTTTTCTGATTTTATTTTGATTTTTTCTGATTTTATTCTGATTTTATTCTGATTTTATTCTGATTTTATTCTGATTTTATTCTGATTTTATTCTGATTTTATTCTTTTCTGATTTTCTGATCTTATTTTCTGATTGTGTTCTGATTTATAATAAAATCCTATCACACATTCGTTGATCGAAAATCTTCCTTCAAATATATTTTATTTTAAAGAGGGGACACAATAATAATTATTACGCTTTGTTTCTTCTACATACTATCAAAAATTTTCGCGCAACAACAGTTTATCCTTGTTTGTTTATTTATTTTCAACTGATCTAATTAATTTATTTTTATTTTGTTTTTATTGATTCTAGATATGTATGTAGTCGAACTTTTTTATAATAACTTCCATTAATGTATAAGTTTAATCTCGTTACGGAAGGCGTTTAAGGCTTTGTTGATCTCAGTGTTTAAGGCCATGTTAGTGCTTAAAGACATTCAACACTAGACACTTTTGTGTTTAAAACTTTTTTGTCAAGTAAAGATCGGCAAAATCACATTTCCGGGATGCCGTAACGGGATTGAGATTGAAAAGTTCGAACGGGAGGGATCCCGCGGGATTACTCCCGTCAATCCTGGAGTCCCGGCAATCCCGTTCGTTTCTAAAAACCCGGGATGGGATCCCGTATAATCCCGCCCGGGATCCCTCCCGTGCCTAATCTCTAATGTCAAGTGTTAACTCAGATGACACACCCATCAAAACACTCAACATGAATGTCATTGTAAAACCAGTTGTATAAGCAACATCCAACATCCAGTAAGAGAGAGGTAAAAGCTGGATCTTTCTCCTCCTTACAATCCATAAGCAACATCTTCGAGGGCGTACACAACGAGCTTCGACAGTAATTAGTGATTAAGGACCTCCTCATTCTTATTATTATTTAATGATTTTTGTATATATTTTTTTAAACCACAAAAAATTATAAAAAAATTATATTTTTTCGCGCAATCCCTTTAAAAATAAAAATTTTTGACGCGTCATTTCACCTTCATTTTCCTCCCCCAATTCACCCCTCCTCCAATTTTCACTCCTTTTTTACTTTCCTTTTTTCATTCCTTGGTCACGCAACCCCCCTTTCTCCTTCCTTTCTTCCAGTTATTTTACTATTTTTTAAACGGCATTTAACAAATAAAAATAATTTTTTTTCTCACATTAAAATTATTTAAAATTACATTTTTTTAAAGATGGGTGTGTGTGTGTGGTCTTTTAAAAAATAAAAATAATTTTTAAAAATAATCTTATGATTTTTATTCTTTTTTTTTTGACTATTTATTGGGTGTTATTAGACCCATATATTTTTAAATTTTTTACTCCTTATAAATTTTTTTTTATTTTCTGAAACACGCCTTAACAAGTGTTTCTACTTATTATATAAGAATTTGGAAGGTTAATAAAAATCAGAATTAACCAGAATTTAAGATTAAACTTTAAAATTTATTTAGAATCAAGTTTAAATGAAAATAAAATCTGAAGCATCTTAATAAAAATTAGAATCTTAGTAAATAAAACTTAAGAGTAAACTTGAAAAAATAAAATAAACTTAAGTTATTTAAGATTAATCTTAAATAAACTAAAACTTGAAACAAATTAATAAAAATCAGATTTTTATAAAATCAGAATTTTTATAAATCAGAATTTTTATAAAATCTATAAAATCAGAATTTTTAATAAATCATAACTATTGAAAATCAGAATTTTTATAAAAATCAGAATTTTTAATAAATCAGAATTTTTATAACATCAGAATTTTATAAAATCAGAATTTAAGATTGAACTTGAAAAAAAAATAAAATAAACTTAAGTTTACGCTTAAATAAACTGAAACTTGGAAATAAACTTAAGATTAAACTTAATAATCTCGCCAGCCATTTTTCATACTTTTTAATATTTAAAAATTTTTTTAAACACATCTACCTATATTTTTAAATACCTAATTTATTTATTTAGTTAGATTTAGTATAATTTACTTAAAAAAATATTCATCAACCTTGAAGGCCTTTTTGGCTTAAAAATTATTTTTATTTATTTTTTCTATATTTTTTTGGTCACCAAAAAAGAAGAATTATTTCTCCAAGCTATCTATTAACAACACTAATTAAAAAAAATTTTTTCTTCAATTTTTTCCTTCATTTTTTTATTCAAATTAAATGTTCTTGTTGTTTGTTTGTTGTATATTTAATTAAAGAAGACAACAAAAAAAATAAAAAAAATTTTTCTAAAAATTCTTCTGATTTTTAAACCTCTTAGAAAAATAGCAACAATCAATTAATGACCAAATTTACCCAAAAAATAAATAAAAATAAATTAAAGAAGAACAAATGATGCCTTTATTTAAGCATTATTTGTGTGACAACAAAAAAAGAAAATTAATTTTTAAATTATTTATTTGTTCTGTATTGTTTAATATAGTTAGTGGAGCCCCTAGAAAAAATATAGAAGTTAAAGAAGGCAATAGAATTGAAAAAATGGATGAAGAAAATAGACAGTTTATTAAAAATATGAGGCTGAGGGCGTTAGGCAATATTCAACGGTAAAGAGTAATTAAAAATCAGAATTAAAAAATCATAATTAAGAATCAGAATTTTAAAATCAGAATTAAAAATCAGAATTTTTAAATCAGAATTTTAATAATCAGAATTAAAAAAATCAGAATTTTTAAATCAGAATTAAAAAAATCGAAATTAAAAAATTAGAATTAAAAATCAGAGCAGAATTTTAAGAAAGCAGAATTTTAAGATTAAATAAACAGAAAATTTAAGATCAAACTTGAAAATTAGAACTAGAAAACAAGTTTAAGTTCAAACTTAAAAAATGTTTAAAATCAGAATTAAGTCAGAATTAAAATTAGAATTTACTAGAAATTAAATCAGAATATTAGCCATAATTAGTCAGAATTAATTCAAAATATAATGAGAATTTCAATCAGAATTAAATCAGAATTTTAATCAGAATTTTAAAACTTTAACCAGAATTTTTCAGAATTTTCAGAATAAAATCAGAATTAAAACTAAAATTAACTACTCTTACATATTTTCAGAATTAACTTAAAACCCTAATAATTTCCAAATCAGAATTATTAAAAAGGTGTGGTTCTCTAAATTTATTTATTTTTTTTTTCCTTAAATTCTTTCTCGGTTCATTTATTTTTGTTTAAATTTATTTTTTTTTCTTAAATTTATTTAAAATTAAATTTTTCTATTTTTATGTTTTGTTTGTCTCAAATCTTATGACAAAATTAATTTAAAAATAATTTAAAAAAGAATTTCTTTTTTTTATTAAATTCTTATCTTAATCCATTAAAAGAATTAAAAATTAAAAAGAAAAAATTAAAAAATATTTTTAATAAAAATGAAGTAAAATTTTTAAGTAGATTATTTTTAGAATTTATTAGAAAATTTAATTAAAAATTCATGTGAAAAATTTTATAAATCAGAAGAGATAAATCAGAATTTAAATAAGTGAACAGAATTTATAATTAAAAATAAATCAGAATTAAATAAATCAGAATTTTAAAAATCAGAATTAAAACTTAAGTTCGAACTTAGAAATAATTCTGAATTAATAAATCAGAATTGCAAACTTGAAAACTTAAGTTCAAGCTTGTGTTAATTAGAAACTTTAAAGTAAACTTTAAAACTTAAGATCAAACTTGGAATAAATCAGAATTAAATATCAGAATTAAAACTTGGAAACTTAAGTTCAAACTTGAAAACTTAAGTAAAACTTGAAATTAAACTTGGAAAAAAATTGAAAATAAAGTTTGAACTTAAAACTTGAAATTAACTTTAAAAAAAGTTTAAGATTAAACTTAAGTATGGTAATATTAAAACTTGAGACCACAAACTTAATTAATAATAGATTATTGAACGATTTTTGGGCCAACAAAAATTCCGAAAAAATTATTTTTTAATAAGATTAATTTTTAAAAATATTTTAGTTCCCTAGAATCCTACTCCTCCCTAACAGCAAACTCGTTAATGTTAAAAACAGCACTAGAAACACCCGAATCTGTTGGTGATCAAGATGAGGATGAAGAAGATTTTGTATTAGAAATAAATTCCTTATCAACAACACGGGGACCAGCAACAACCCCTCCCTCCCCTTTAACGGAATCGCAAACAAGCAAACATCGACATTCTGGTCTAAGACGGATTAAGGCAGATTTAAGGTGCTTCTTATTTTTATATTATTTGAGGTAACTTAAGTTTGAGATAAAAGATGTAAAGGGGGGGGGGTAGGGTGGAAAAATTTCAAAAAAAATTTTAGAAAAAATTTTCCAAAATTTTTTCTTAATTTAAAAAAAATTCAAAAAAATTTTTTTCAAAAAATTTTCAAAAAATTTTCCACAAATTTTTTTCCCAAACAGAAGAATTCCTTCTTCCTCTACCTCCACATACGAAAATTCAAACAGCGAAGAACCCTCTATATTAACAACAGCACCTCCCAGAAAGCTTCGTTCAGCAGTTAATGTTGTTGCTATACAACAAGAACAACAACAACTAAATTTAAAAAATAATGGAGGGCATTACAGCACTCATCATCAACATCATAGGAGGAGAAGAAAAGGTGCTTAATTAATTAAAACTTTTTTTTATTAAAAAGAAGAGAGGAAGTAAGCGTTAAAACAAGGTACAAGGGACCTTTCGGCGCGGGCCTATAAAATTGTCATTTATGAACTTGGAGACTTGAAATTTTGGCCAGATACTGTTCATAGTGTTAACTTGGTCTGTTAAAAATTTCAGAAGTTTTGGTCTCTTATTTTTCGAGTTATGGCCGAAAAAGTACTAATAATCAAAGAAAATGGCGATTTTCTGCAGTCCTTTTGCAGTCTTTTAACCATAATTCGGGAAATATTTAACCAAAAATTCTGAAATTTTCAGAATTTTTGGTCAATACTATTAAGGATATTTTTACAAAATTTCATTTCTCTAGGACCACTTTTGACAAAGTTATGCTCTAACGACGAAGCGTCTTTTTTTCCTTTTTTCTTCCAAATTTTCCAAAATAAAATTTATTGTGATTGAGTGAAACTTGAAAAATATGTAAATATTAGCCTTCCCTTGCCATTTATTTAAAAAAATTTTTTGATAACAATCTGCGCATTTTTAAAAAATTTCCAAAAGTCATCATTCATGCGGGAATTTCTCTCTTTTCTTTTATTTTAAGGAAAGCTAAGAGTAAATTTAAATAAATTTATTTTTAGATATTTTGAAAAAAGGGGGATTTTTAAAAGGAAAATTTTTAAATTAAAAAAAATTGTATTTTAAGAATTTTAGAGTGAAAAATAAATTATTACAATTATCTTTTCTTCTTCTCTTTTTCTTTTCCTCTCTTTCTTTTCCGGAAAAGTGTGTATAACAAATAATTTTCCGGAAAGGTTGTAATAATTAATACAATTTTAATTAAAAATAATCCGGAAAAATAATTCTGACCAGAATTAATTATTTTTAAAAATCAGAAAATCGATCAGAATTTTTTTAAAATATTATTCGGTGCTCCTAATATTAAAGAGGTCCTCCGATTCTCAAAATTTTCCCAAATAAATTTTTTTTATTTTTTAAAAATTCCCCTATACCTCCTTCCTTCCCCTTCCTAATTTTTAATTGCCCCAGGCATTTCCGCTTTACGCTAATTTTTTTCTTCCTTTCTTTTTTGGATTTTGATTATATTGTTTGGAGAGTCAAAACAGAATGATGGATAGTTAAAATAAACAATACTAGCATTTAAAGAAAAAATATTTTTTTCGGAATGAACCGCGCAAAATTATATTTCTAATATTAATTTCTCTCTTCTCTCTATTTTTTAATTTTTAATTAAAATTAGGGGTCAAATTAAATTTAAATTAAAATAAATAACGCTTAAAGTAGTTAAAATAGGGAAAGTTGGTGTCACTTAAAGTATCACAAAATTGCCAAATGATAACCTAGAGACTTGAAATTTTGCTTAATTATCTTTGATAGTGTTAGCTAATAATTCTGAAAAGTTCAGAATTTTAGGTTCAGAATTTTCAAAGTTATGGGCAAAAGAAGGCAAAAATGGGCTTTTTCACCAAAAATACAGACATTTTTGGCCATAACTTTTTCCATATTAAACTTTAAATTTTGAAATTTTTAGAGTTGTTAGTTTACTCTATCAAGAATATTTTTGCAAAATTTCAGAATTTTAGGTTCACTTTTGGAAATTTTATGACTCTTAACGTAACGTTACCTCAAAATAATTATTTTAAGGCAAAAGAGAATTGCTGGTTAAGCGGTATAAATGCGGAAATAATAAATAAAAGAGTAAGAGGTTCGAATCTCTGATATGGAAACATTAAAAATAATTATGGAAAATTTTAGAAAAAAATTTAAAAAAATATTTTCTTCCTTAGAATTTTTTTTGAATTTTTAAAACCAAAAAAATTCTTTTCAGGCTGCCCTTCCGTTCATGGCAAAGATCAATTGCTCTGTCCTACAAGGAATACTTATAGATATGGTCATTTAAATAATTATTTTTAAAAAGTAAAATATTTTTTAAAGAAAATATTTAATGAAAAATTTATCAAAAAATTTCCGAAAATTTTCAAAAAATTTTTAAAAATTTTTTTGAATGTTTGAAAATTTTTATTTTTTTTTCACATTTTCCAATTTTCCAATTTTTTGCAAAAAAACGAAAACAAAAATACCAAAAATACAAAAAAATTATTTTTAAAAAAATAATATAGATGTCTGCATTACGCGTGAACAACTTTGCGACCGAATCAGAGACTGTCCAGGGGGAGAAGACGAGGACACAAGGCATTGCTTTTTCTTCAGACCGGTTTGTGTTAAAAAAAGATTTTTAAACTAATTAAATAAAAATAAATATACAATTGAGGGAAGTATATAAAAATATTTGGTACATTTCCGTTATGACGTAACCTTCTAAATTAATGTTCAAAATGTCATATATAGGGTAGAAAAAGGTGCTGAGTCGAACGGTACCGCTCTTTTTTCACGGAGATGCCTGTGGACCAAGATATAGGGCTCGAAATGTCAAAAACCATAGGGGGAGAACGCCTCGCCTACGCCCCATAGGTTTACGTTGACCATTTTGAGCTTGTTGATCTAGTCTCAAAATCAAGATTTCGAGCTGATTTTGGTGTCGTTCCACTCAGCTCGAGGAGCTCTTTCGAATGAGTTATCATTCAAAAAATGGAATTTTTCACCCCAAAATTGAGCTTACTCCCCCCTATGGTTTTTGACCATTTCGAGCCCTATATCTCAGTCCACAGGCATCTCCGTGAAAAAAGAGCGGTACCGTTCGACTCAGCACCTTTTTCTACCCTATATATGACATTTTGAACATTAATTTAGAAGGTTACGTCATAACGGAAATGTACCAAATATTTAAAAAAAAAAGGAAAAATAAAGCTTAAAAAATATTAAATGAAATCTTCATAGTAAAAGGAAAAAAGAAAACACAAAATATAACATGGAAAAATCAGAATAAATAAATAAAAGAAAAATACAAATCAGAATTTTATTAAACTTTCCGGAAAACACAAAGAAAAACACAAAAAAAACAAAAAAAATACAGAAACCAGAATTTAAAACTTTCCGGAAAACACAAAAATCAGAATTTATCTTTTAAAAAATCCAGAATATTAAGAAAATACAATTCTGAAAATAATTAAAATCAGAACTACAAAAACACAAAAAAATACATAAAGAAAAATCAGAATATTAAACCAGAAAATACCTAAAAATACAAACCAGCAAAAATACAAATCAGAAAATAAAAATACAAAAAAAATCAGAACAAATAAAAATACACTCGAAAATACCAGAAAAATACAAACACAATAAAATCAGAAAATACATTTAAATACAGTTGGAGTCTTCACTGAAGACACTTTCACATGCTGTTCTTCTACTTGTTGACACTGTAATGAGAGAACAAGAAGAAAATCAACATCTGGAACAACGCAACGAGCTTTGAATTTTTAGATTTTAAAGAATAATTTTTAAATAGTCTCAGGAGGGCATTCATTCATTTAATTTTAGTGCCAAAAATCGAAAACCTCTATATAATCAACGCCCATTATAAGGGACATTCTCTATAAGGGACAACAATTGTTCAAGGTGTATTCCCTTACTTTTTATAAACCCCTTAATAACAACATCCCTCTATAGGCGACATTTCCCTTCCCATCACTCAGAGTCGCTTATAATGAGAGTTTATTATATAGAGGTTAAATTTAAAAAATAGAAAATTTATTCTCATTGATCTCTTTCAAATATATTTTCATTTTTTCCTTATCATTTTATCGCTCTTTATCATTTTTTATCATTTTTATATTTTTCTCCTTTTTTATTGTGTCATTCCTCACCTCAGATTTTTAAAAAAATAATAAAAATTAAAAATAAACTCTCAATTTAATTTTTTCAATTTCCAATTTATTTAAAATAATATTTATAAAGAACAATTAAAAAAATTTTTTTCTTTAAAGAATAGTAAGTACACAAATTTATCAAAAATTATTTATAACCAATTAAAATTCAACAATTCGGATTATTTGATTTAAATCACCAACCACTGTCATAAAATGATGGAAATTGTGGTATCTTCTAAAATTATTAAAAATTAAAAAAAAACAAAAAATATAATTTAAAATATTCGCAAAAATTTGAAGCTTTGTGTTTTTTTTATTTCGTGAAAAACGGATCGATCCCAGAAGGTCAACGTCCTAAAAGTCAACTGACTCAACTCCAAATATTTGGGCAAATACTTTCGCCTTTTAAAAAACCCGACCTCTTTAATTTCTTTCTCCAAAGAAACAATTTTCTCGTCTTTTTGCTTTAAACAAATATCGTTTTCAGCTTTTAATAGTTGAAATTTTGCATCAATAAAATTTAAATTTTTTTTGATTTGTTCAATTTCATTTTTATGGTCGGCATTTGTTTTTTGGATTTTCTAAAATTATTAAAAAATTGGAAAAATTTAAGAATGCGAGCCACTCACGAATATGGACAAATTATAAATCATTCGAAAGAGCTATTCGAGAGGAGTCGAATGACACCAAAATTACCAAGCGGGCTCAACTATGAGCTGAGATACAAGGGTCCAAAATTGTCAAAAACCATAAGGGAAACCAGGCTGATTTATGGGGTCAAAGTGTCGAAAATTCAAATAATATGTCATTCGACGCAACTCGTCGAGCTGAGTCAAATGACACCAAAATCTACACGATTGAACCAGATTGTGTAGGTCGGCTATAACTTTTTTATTATGCAAAAAACAAACAACGGGAACGGGTAGGGGATCATTGTGTACCGGCCGTTTGTGTACCTGGCCATATTTTGGGCCATAACTTTTTCAATTCTTAATTGATTTAAATAAATAATGTATCAATTGAAAGCCCTGGATGTGAGGAATATTTTCGCTAACAGGATTGATTTGATCAGATAATCATACAAAAAGTTACAGACAGATAAAGATCAAAATCACGATTGAGCGCATTTATCGAGATATAACTTTATATAACATGATCTGATCAAATCAATCCTGTTGGCGAAAATAATCCTCACATCCAGGGCTTTCGATTGATATAAGAATAATTGAAGTCGGTTAAGAATCAAAAAAGTTATGGCCCAAAATATGGCCAGGTACACAAACGGCCGGTACACAAGAGGGACGTTCCGCGGGAACCTTTGGAGCGTTGGCGAGACGCTTGTGGCAGCGCCTCGCGGGAGTCAACGGTCGCAGGGTGCTGCACTAGCAACATAAACCTACTCCTTTTACCGATTCTCAGCTTTGATAATTATACGAAACTATGAAAAAAAATTGAGAGACAGCTCATGTAATATTAAGCCCTAAAAAATTTACCTTGTTTTCTTTCTCCAAAGAACTAATTTTCTCATCTTTTTGCTTTAAACAAAAATAGTTTTCAACTTTTAAATGGTGAAATTTTTCTTCAATATATTTTTGAAAATTTTGCTTAATTTCTTCAATTTCATTTTTATGGTCAATATTTATTTTTTGGATTTTCTAAAATTATTTTTAAAGAATTTTCAAAAAATGGGGTCGAAATGTCAACTCAGCGCTAACAGACTTTGATCGGCTATAACTTTTTTATGACTGATCCAATCCTAATAAATCTTGTATCATTCGAAAGCCCTTGAAAAGCGCTATCTTTTTCCCAATTGGTTGGATCAGTCTGATCGCCCAATAAAAAGTTACAAGTCATTAAGTGTGAAAAACAACGATTTCTTGCACTTATCGACTTGTAACTTTTTAACGAGCGATCACACTTAATTCAACCAGTTGGGAAAAAGATAGCGCTTTTCAAGGGCTTTCGAATGATATAAGATTCATTCGGATTGGATCAAGGACAAAAAAGATATAGTCGGTCAAAACGACTGGCGCTTAGTTGACCGTTACGAAAATAACCAGACTTTATCCATTTCCTTCAATTCATGTTCCAGAAAAAAATTTTTCTTTTCAAGATTTAAAGTCTTCTCTTCAACAAATTTTATTCGAAGATGCGTTTCAAGTTTTATTAAATCATTGTTTTGTTTGTATAGCTTAAATAATTAATTCAGAAAAAATTTTTCTAATTAAATTTACTTTAAATTCCAAATCAGTATTTGTTGATGGTCTTTCTTCAGTCATTTTTTAAATTTAATTAAAATATTTTAAATGAAAAACTAAAAAATTTGTTAAAATAAATCTGGTAATACCTTCACTGCAGACTAGCAAGGGACATAGCGCAATTTAAATTTTGGTTAAGTGGATAAGAGCGCTGACTACAAAATCGTTTAAAATTGGGTAGCGGGTTCGAACCTTTTCATGGTTAATTAATATTTTCTTACACTTCCAAAGGTATACCTTCTTATACCCTTGGCTTTCAAATACTTTTGGAAGTTGCCCCCTTTTTTTCTTTCTATTTTTTCCTTTTTTCTGCTTTTATGCCAAATTATATATCATTCGATTCGGCTTTTCGAGCTGAATCGAATGGCACTAAAATCAATATATGACCGTTTATTTTACCCCCTCTCAAATGCACAAAAAAATTTTGCAGCAAAATTTAGCTTCATAATTTTGAATCAACAAAGCTAACCGACAATGGTATCATTCGAATAAAAGCTCATAATTGGTCGGAAACCGGGGAAAAAGTAGGGAAACCGTGACCTGAAAAGTACATATTACTCTTAAAATAAGGAGTAAAGTTTTGTGTTTGGTTTTGTGACGTTAAAAAATAATAAAATCTATAAAAAGAAGGAATAAAAAATATGGAGAAAATTTCTGTGTTAAATACTGAAGGGAGGCAGGTCAAAGGAAGGAAGGCAAGCCAAGCCTAAATTTTCTGCTCAGACCTAATTATTTAGTCTGGGTGAGTTGTTTGATACTATTAAACTTGAAGAAAGGAAAAATGATTAATTTTGTTGCTAGAAATTTCTGATACTTCACTTAAGCCCTCTTCGGATGATTTTTGAGGTTCAAGAAAACTCGTACTTCGTACCAAGCAAAGTACGAGTATGATTTTTTTACAAGCGTCAAAGCACTAATTGAAAATTTATTTTCATTTAAATATTTAAAATAAAATCATATAATGATTTAACAATTGTTACAATAATAGGATGTTTTATTAGCAGAAAAATCTTCTTCAACATTTAGTCTATTTCCACTGCCAATACAACCGGCTGGCAAATTGTCGCTGCCTACTGACATTTGTATCCTTAAAGACGAATTTATTTTTATAAATTTTTATGCCCTCAGGGCATGTTAGGCAAAGTGATCCCTATATAGGCAACATCATTTCCAAACCCTTTGAGTCGCTAATATTGAGAGTTGACTGTATAGAGGTTCGGTTTAGATTATTTTTTTTTGGACCAATCAGTTCCACTCTCACCGAAAACATGGGCCCTAACTTTTTTGATTCTTAACAGATTTAAATAATTTTTATATCATTCGAAAGCTCAGGATGTAAGGATTATTTTAGCCGACAGGATTGATCTGATCAGATCATCCTACAAAAAGTTAGAGACGAATAAAGCTCAAAAATCACGATTGCGCGTACTTATCCAGCTGTAACTTTATGTAGGGTGATCGGATTAAAACATTCCCAACAGATAAAATAATCCTCACATCCAGAGCTATCGATTGGTATAAAAATTATTTAAATCGGTTGAGAATCAAAAAAGTTATAATCCAAGATGTGGCCTCACTGCAACAGCTATTCTGAAAAATCCCCGCCCAATTTAATTACCGTTGCATAACTAAATCAAGTAGGCAATCAACAGCTTTTTCTACATTTGAAGAAGTACATGCTGAAGTCTCGAAATAGGGTAAACTACAAGAAAAATTTATTCAAAAAATTTTTTTCACTTAAAAAACCCAAGCTGGTCAGCCAATTGTTTAGCTCTAGCAGTACTAACTTGTCGACGATTTTCCAAATCTGACTTGTTACCACAAAGTATTATGTCTGGTGTTTCGCAATATGCGTGTATTTTTAGTTGAGAAAGCCAATCCCTTTTAAGTTAAAAATTTTTTAAAATTAAGATCAGAATATTTTTAAGGGGGAGAAGACATTGGCGCAGACACGATCCTTTACAGCGCGCAAGTGAAAATTAATAGGAAGACGGAAACCTACAGTCCTGAAATTTTCCAAGGATATTCCTTATGGTCTAAACCAATTTTTCTATAAATTTCAGAATTTTCCGTCCACTGTATCCAAAGTTGTGGGCAAAAAACTTAACGAACCCCCAACATTTTCAACCAAAAAGTGTACATTTTTGATCACAACTTGAGAAATACATAACCAAAAAATCTGAAATTTTTAGGAAGATTAGATAACAGTATTATTTATCTAAATCCAAAATTTGATAGATTTATCTTATAAACAAACAAAGTTATGTAAGTCTACGCCGTAATGACTCTGCGCCGTAACGTCCTTTATTCCGTTTAAATGCCCCTCTCCCTTTTTAATTTTCCGGAAGTACAGTATACCTGACATTAAGAAACGACTGTTCATTAGTAATGTCGAAAATAAGTATAAATCCCATAGCATCGCGGAAGAAAGCTGTGGTTAATGAACGGAATCTTTCCTGCCCTGCAGTGTCCCTAAAATTAAAAATATTTCCCAAAATAAATTAAAGGGTACCATAATTGTAATAGCACTCGTTGACCTCTACCTCCAAAACCTCCTCTAGCACTTTTGTAAACCTGAAAAATGAGAAGTTGAGAGATTAGAGGTATCTACTCTGAACACCTTTAAGGTTGAAAAACTGTTCTTATAACGAGGGATATCTTAAATAGAGGGGTATCGATTAGAAAGCCCCCCCACCCCCCGCACTGTTATATATTGCTCTCCCAACTTAGATGCCCTCTTCTTCCAAATACCACCGAATTTTAACTATTGGATATCAGGCACTGCTGCATCTTAAAAACGGCAGTCGGAAGCGGAAGACGGAGGAGAGCCCATCTCTGGTGTATATTTTAGTGAGGTCTAACCACCTATTTCTCTAAGAAGCGAAGAAAAGTTGGGGGAGGGGACAGATCTTCTATTCCTTCCCATATTTTATGTTTCATCTCTCAATCACTCCATAAACCCCCTCAATCACCCTACAAAGCTAAAATAAGCTTACCACTTTTTTCTCTTTAAAATCTATCCCAACGGTTGATATGAATTGACCCGTGAATGAATTGTCTGTATATCTGTGCTTTAAAAGGGAAAAAATTTCAATCCAAAAAATCTCTAGAAAAACCAAAAACGAAGTTTTGCCAACGCCAGAATCACCTAAGGCCAAGAATTTAATCAAATAATCGTAATCTGCCATCTGTCAAATAAAAGACGTATGAAAGACTATTATTCAACAAAGGAGTTAAAAAAATATAATTTAGAAGAAATAATGGCAACTTAAAGCCTTTAAAGGCTGAAAATAATTAGTTGGGGGAGGGGACGTTTAGGCGCAGAACAAATAGGGGAAGGCTTTATAAAACTGCCTAGAAGGTGTCTAAATTCACGAAATTTTGTAGAAAGGTCGTTATTAGTGTTATCTAAGCCTTCAAAAAATTTCAGAATTTTTGGACCAGAATTTCAGAAATTCTGGTCCAAAAATCAGAATTTACGTCGATTTAGGTCGAAAAAATCTATTTTTAAGCGAATTTTCTACCGTAACCTTTCAAATAAAAAACAGAAAATTCTGAAATTTATAGGCAAGGTAGTCTACAATATAAGGAACATTATCAAACAAAATTTGATCAAAATATCTATCGTCTACATGAATATAAATAACCTCGCGCCTAAACACCCCTGCGCCCAAACGCCCCCGTCAAAAAAAATTCTTGCTATAAAATCGAAATGGAAGGAGGCTGTTTTTAAAAGCTAGATAGAATCCATTAAAAAAACGGAATGGGCTGGTTAGAGAAACAATATTAAGCAGGAATGTAAGAAAATGTAGAAAAATATCGAATGGTTGTCGAGAAAAAGCATTTTTTGCCTTGCCAAAGAAGGTAAAATAAAATTAAAATAAAATAAAATTAAATAAAATAAAATTAAAATAAAATAAAATTATTTTACCTCTGTTTTTGTGTCAAAGACAATTTTTTTAAAAATAAATTGTCCAATAAAAAAAGAGAAAAAAATAAAATTAAAAAAAAATTTGTTTCGTATTTTTAAAAATATTAATTAAAATTTTGTTTCGCATTTTTTAAAAATAATAAATATAATTAATGCAAAATTCCCCCCACAAAAAAACTAGCCAAATTTATTAATTAAATAATAGTACTATATTAACTAATAAATCAGAATATATATCAGAAAAAAATTATTTAAAATCAGAACTCTATTTTAAAATAATTTTTTAAAAAATCAGAATTTTCAAATAAAATTTAATTTAAAAATTCTGATTTCTGAAAACTTGTTTGAAAATCAGAAATTTTACAAATCAGAACATTTCTATTTAGAAAATCAGAATTTCTTTTTTTCAGAATCTTATTTTATCAGAATTTTTTCAAAAATCAGAATTTTCAAACAGAATCTAACCTAAAAATTCTGATTTTCTGGAATTCTTTTTTGTAATCAGAATTTTTCCAAATCAGAATATTTAATAGTTAGAAAATCAGAATTATTTTTCTGAATCTTATTTTACCAGAATTTTTTTAATAAATCAGAATTTAATTTATTCCCAAAAATAAGAGGTGTTTTCCAGCCTAATAAATTAATATAAAAAATAGAGTTCTGATAATAAAGAGTATATATTTTTAAATGTCAGATATGGGGGTTAATAAATAATATACATAGTGAATATACGGAGTTATAGGCATAGTGGTCCTAGGAAATTATTTTAATTTCTTAAAATTTTTGGCTTAAAGGGAAGGGGGCTAGTGTTGGGGATAGCTCTATAATATTTTCAGAATTCCAGAATTTTTTCAGAATATTTTTAGAATATTTTTCCCAAAATCAGAAAACCACTAGTACCCAATATTAGTTAAACCCTTCCAAACTAGAGATCGGCCTGGGTCTGGACCAAGGCCTGGGTTTTTCCTGTACCCAGAGTCCAGGCCCAGGCATTTTTTGACCTTCCTGGGTTTTTCCTGGGCCAGGGTTTTTCCTGTACTACAGGCCCAGGATCCGGCCCAGGTCAATAAATCAAACTCAGGAAACCAGGAACAGGCCCAGGCTTTTCAAAATTTCCGATCTCTATTCCAAACCATCCTAGGACCACCACTCACTTACATAAAATTACAAACCATGTTTAAAAAAATAATTTTTGTTAACAAAAATTATATTTAAAAATCCAATTTTTGAGGTTATTTTTCAATAATAATTAATATTCTTTGGCAGTCTTTTCCCCTCTATTTAAATATTTTCCTTTTTAACAATAATACCCAAACCCAAAGCACGTCTAAAAAAAGAAAGAACAGAAGCATGAAAATATTCAACAGATTCCCCTGTTCTAATAGCATGCCTTTCTGTTGGAAAAAGTAATAATTGATGAGGTTTTGAAGCTTTAATTAATGAATTAATTAAGAGGATTGTATGTTGGAAATGAACATTTTCGTCAATCATTCCATGAACGATAAGTATACGGCCTTCTCTTTAAAATTAAAAATTGATTTTTAAAAAAAAAAGGAAAAACAAAAGAATGTTAAGAAAATAAAAAAAAGATAAGGACTAATAAATGTCCCAAAAAAATTTTTTTTTATCTTACAAGGAACCATTGGAGGTAGGGCCGAAGAAGAAAACTAGCAATAGGAAATTGACCCTGCTCTACACGACGGTATAACAATAATTACAGAATTTTTGGTGACAGTTCGAAATCAGGGGTGTGCCGAAACAAATTTTAAAAAGCGAAACGCGAAAGGCAAAATTAAATTTAAAAAGTGAAACGCGAAACTCGCACACCTCTGTTCGAAATGTCCCCCTACTCTCTCTCTCTCTCCTAATTTGTGAGGAATTGAAAATTTCTCATCCATACCTCAAATCCCTCTCAAATCCTATCTCAAATCAAAATTGAGAGAAACCTTTCAAAACATTTATTTAGTGAACTTAAATCGATCCCCAAGTCACCCGAATCTTTAACATATTTTTTTAAAAATCAAAGTACCGTATTTCCTATATTAGAGCCCCATGGGGCTCTATTTTTCAACTATCCTCCAAGGTGGGGCTGTATTAAAGGGTGGGGCTCTAATTGAGGGTGGGGCTCTATTTTTCAACCCTCTTTTGAGATAGAATCCCATTTATTATATCCATTGCAACTAGAGATAGGCCGGAGGGGTTGGTTGATAAAACCAAAAAATATCGAAAGACAATCGATATTTTTCAATTTTTCAAAAAAATTAAAATTTTATAAGCAATGAGTAACGAAATAATCGCAATAGTTCAATGAGGGTAAGATTAATTATAAAATATTTGTAGATTTTGACGGATTAAAGGGAATATTAGGGGACTTGTATTTGACATTGATGGATCATATATAGGTATACAAGCGATTTTAAGGGATTATGGGGAATATCAGAGGATTAATTTTATATTGAGAGATTTAGCGGGGTTAAGAGTGATATTTTGAATGAGGTATTAGTAGGCATATGAAGGGATTTTTTTGTGAAGAGGGATATCGGTGATATAAGGGATATCTATCGGGGATAAAAGGAATACCCACTATATCTCTTCCTTTTCCCCTTAGTTAATCCCTCATATTTCCCTTAATCCTTATATCCCCATGGCCCTTTATTTCCTTAACTCTTAATAATCTTAAAAATTATTGGGATATTTTTTATTTTTCCTCCAATATTTTTAGGTGGGGCTGTATTAGGGGTGGGGCTCTAATTGAGGGTGGGGCTCTATTTTTCAACTACCCTCCAAAGTGGGGCTGTATTAAAGGGTGGGGCTCTAACAGAGGGTGGGGCTCTAATATAGGAAATACGGTAAACTGAACTGATTTGGAAGCATATCAACTTTACTAATAACAGAAGATTTTTTGTAAGCTTCAGCATTTTGTTGAGGTGTTCCCATATAACTGAAAAATAAAAAAAAAATTTTTGAATTAAAAAAAATATTTTTTTTTCCATACCGTTCAGTATATGCGGTATCATAAAGTTGCCAATCTGTTACCTAAAAAATAAAAAAAAATTATTTTTTAAATGAAAAAAAAAAACTCAACAGCTCCACCAACAACTGCTGCCTTATAAATATTTGGATATTCAGCAATTAATTGAATAGACATATAACCTCCATAACTCCAACCTAAATTTTCAAAAAAAATTATTGTCGAAAAAATTAGAACCCATTTTTTATAAAAAAAAATAAAAATGATTCATTTAAAATTTTTAGGCAAGGGTTAATAATGCAAAAGTTGTCTATTATATACGTGCTGTAAAAAACATTGGCTGGGAGATGGGATAGATCCATCAGGGAATGAGCCCAGACCGAAGCACAATTGACTGTGCCACCATCCAACCAACTCTATGATGGGGCTATTTATTTTCAATTATTTCTGCAAGTGCTGACACAAGAATGTCGCCTCGGTAATTTACAACTTTACAAAACGCAAAAGAAAGTCCATGTTAGGGTCAAGAGAAATCCCAGATATCCTAATCCGATATCCCAACTGAAAAATCCCAGATATCCAGATTTTTTAGAATTCGGATAATCCGAGTCCTCAACCCTAGTTTGGGTAGCTGATTCAATCACTATCCGATTAGCGCTAAATTTTTCTTTGTCCCTGCCTTATATTAAAATTTTCCAAAAATAATTTTTAAAATCCTTACCGATACAAACAACACGTTCACCATCCAAAATATTCCCAGTTTGGTCAATTGCTTGTTTTAACCCTTCAACTTGATCTTCCATTTCAACAGAACCCATAGCTTCTTTAATATGTCCTTCAAATGAAACACCTCGATTTGCGGAACCTCTCCCATCTACAATAACAACAGCATATCCATAAGCAAGAAATTTAAGAAATTGGGAAATTCTGAAAAATTAAAAAAATTTTTTAGAAAAAACTTTGGCCCTTGCCAAGTTTAAAAGCCTAATGACAGATTTTTATACGTCGACGACGCATAAACAAATTTTATAAGTTCAATCTCAAATGGCCCATTTTAAGGATACTTGGATAGCTTTATTGAGACAATAAAAGCGTTAAGGTTTGTTGCCGTAACTTAAATTCGAAAATTTTTGATGGGACGTATAAAAATTTATTCAGCCACAAAAACTCATTATTGAACGTTATTGCTATTCGCTTTCTCTCCCTACGTAAAATAGGACTATTTGAACGGCTATCCTAAAATTGTCGAAAAATTAAAAGAATTTCCAATTAAAAAAAAGTTAATTTTGATTGATTACTAAATTAGAGTATATCCAAAAAAATTTTCAAATAAAAATTTTTTTTATTTTCTTACGAATGCCACGAATTTCGAACAATTTGAATACTTGGTCCACCATATACTGAATGAATTATTGGAAATTTTTTTGTTGATTCAATTTCTTCACAAGGCCATAAAGCCAAAGCAAAATGGCGTTGTTTGGAAGTAGTTGATTCAAATTCACAAAATTTGTGTTTAAATATTGAAGAGGGAGAGCGGTGCAGGTATGGAAGACCCCAACTTGAAGTACTGCAAATTGAGGGGGATGGAGAGACTATTTGAACGCCTATTCTGAAAATTAGAAAAAAAATTATGAGAATTTTCGATTTAAAAAAATAATGAAAAACTCAAAGCAAAAGGAAATCTCAGGGTAGGCGATCCTGCGATTCCTCCCGGCATTTATTGCTGTGCGCCTTCCCTCTCCCTAAGTAAAGGCGTATTACCGACGAGAGTGAGTTGCTGGTGCGCTCACCTTTTCTCTTAATAGATTATAAACCTCTCCTTAATAATTTTTATAAATGCATCCTTGCTGGATCTCACTTTTGCTTATACTAATTTAAAATCGAAAATATAACTTCCTAAAGTAGTGTAAAAAACAAAATCTAGTCTATTCAAGGGATTTTCAAAAATCAAAAAATATTCGCCAATGAACTATAAAAATATACGTGAAATTTGCCCTCCAGCTTATCCAGCTCTTGAAATCCGACCTGTGAGTACGTCCTCACATTTGTAAAAACCCGAAAAAATTAAAATTAAAACCTATGTGTATAAACAGCTGTTGGAAGTAAGCCAGGTTCATTTCCATGAACAAAACGATAAAAACGACATTCAGGAAGGCGATTAACAGCACTTAACCAACAAATAAAACCAACATCAGGATTAAGGCAAAGTGTTGGGTTACAACGTTCGAATCTATTTTTTTTAAATTAAAAAAAATTTCTTTTTAATTTTCCTTGGTTGTTGAAAAAAATATTTTGAAAAAATTTTCCAAAAATTTAAAATAATTTTTCAATTATTTTGACCGTAAAAATTTTTTCCAAAAAATTTTTTCTTAAATTTTTCAAAAATAAAAAAATATATCGAAAAAAAAATTTTCCAAAAAATTTTTCAAGAATTGGCCATAAAAATTTTTTCCGAAAAATTCAAAGTAATTTTGTTAAAAATTTTTTTTAAAAATTAATTTCTCTTTTCAAAAAAATTAAATATACTTATAACTCAAATCCTGTGGAGTTAAAACACGGCAGTCTTGTAATTTAGTATCATCGTTGTTATCAGTGGAAGTCACCGAGGGAATAGAAGCAACACACCTTTAAAAAAAATTATTTTTTTAATAAAAAATAAATTTAAAAAATTTACAGGCTTAAAATTATAGGAGAAATGCGCTCTGCCAAGAAATATACAAGTCGTCTATTATTATCAACCTGTCAATAGAAAATTATTCTTTTAATAAGTAACTTCAGAAAATTAATTTGTTTAATATATCATCAGAATTACAAATTAGAAAAATTCAAAATTACAATTTGCTTGTTTTAATATCAGAATTTGTAATTTACAAATTCCGATTTTGACTATAAAAAACAGAATTATTTTTAAAATTAAGCGATACTAAAAATCAGAATTTGTAATTTGTACAAAAATCAGAATTACAATTTGTAAAAATCAGAATTTGTTTATGGTTAAAAATCAGAATTTGTAATTTGTAAAAAATCAGAATTACAATTTGTAAAAATCAGAAATACACGTTGTGTTACTAATATAAGAATTCTATTATAAAAAATCAGAATTTGTTTATGGTTAAAATCAGAATTTGTAAATTGTAAAAAATCAGAATTTCCTTTTGTAAATTACAAATTCTAATATTTTACCATTTGTAATTCTGAATTTTAAAAATCAAAATTCTGATTTTTTTAGATTCTGATTTTAACCATAAACAAATTCTGATTTTTTAAAAATTACAAATTTTGAATTTTTGCAATTTATAATTCTGATGTTTAAAATTACAAATTCTGATTTTTTTACAAATTCTGATTTTAACCATAAGCAAATTCTGATTTTCTCAAATTGTTTTAACAATAAAAAGTCAGAATTTGTAATTTACAAAAATCAGAATTACTAAAAATCAGAATTTCGATTTTTAAAAATCAGAATTTGTAATTTACAAGAAGACAAGTATTAAAAATTACAATTTGTAAAAAAATCAGAATTAAATAACAACCTTAGGAACAGCCTCTTTAAGAACCACCCAATCACTACCACGAGTAATTTGCTTTGAAATAATGCCTATAAATTAAATTTAAAAATAAAAAAAAATTTTAAAAAATCCTACCCTTCTCCTCTTCCCAATTTTGCAAATATAAATGACATTTATCAGAGCTTTCAGAGCCCATAATGAATTGAATTTCCTTCTTTTCACATTCATCGGTTTGATTAAAAATTAGGGGAAAGTGAAGAAGGTTGTTCCACTGTAAAAAAATTTTTTTAAATAATTTGAAGGTTATTTTCTAAAAAGAAATGGGTCGAGTCGACGACTATGGAGTTTTTGTGGATTTGTAGTTTTGCCCATTTAATATTTTTGAAATTTAGACCAAAAATAGAGGCTATAGAGTATTTTAGGTTATTAAAAAATCAGACTTTTGTCAGTAAGCACCAGGGATCTAGTCGGGAATTCCCGATAAAAATTAAATTTCCGATTTCAGGAATCGGAATTCCCGTCCCAAAAAACGTCGGGAATTCCCGATTTTCGGTAATTGGGTCGGCTAGATCCCCGGTATCCACCAGAGATGTCACAAATTGTACGAAATTCGATAAACGTTCCGAGAGAAATTTTTCGAAAACACGATCCAAAATCCTATCCTTTTTAAATTAATTTCACACAGAATAAGAAAATAAACATAAGATAAAAACCTGATATTATCGACCCCAAGACTCATACTTACATTAATCCAAACAGTCGAAGTTTCTTCATAAATTATTTTCATATTTCCAAAACCTTTACCACTTTTTCCAGCAGAAACAAAAAGAGTTCTAGGTAATAATATAATTGCCATTCTTGTTTGTAGTCTATTCATTACAACCAAATAAATTCTTTAAAAAAATAAAATTATTAATGGTTATTTTCTGTTAATAAAGTCAAATCAAAATTTTACTGCCCCCATTTAAGTAAATAACCGATCCGGGTTGGATCACCCAAAACTTAAAACGACACCACAATTTTCTACCTGAAACCCGACTCGAAGGAAATTGTGAAAACCCAACCCGACTTTTTTCTCAACCCGGTGCATCCCTGACAACCGACCCACCTCTCTTATTTAAGGCATTAGATGGTGGGTGAAAGGCCAGGCCTAATAATAAACGACACCCACAATAAATTAAATTCTCTATTTTAGGCACAATATTTCTAAACCTTAAGAGTGTTCGTAAAATTGAGATCCCCGACTGTATTAATCTTATGAAAACCTTCCAAAATTTTTAATAAAAAAAATCAAAACCAAACTCATTTCCTTTACTTGTCCACCCCATTCTAACAATATATTCCATCCAAGGCACAAATTCATTCAAATTATTATCTAGTTCCAAATCCTCAAATACACATTCTTCTCCATCCTCACAATTTACAAGACAACATATTCTAGGCATTGAAACAGCATTTTTTGTTCCAGCCAAAGGGTAACGCATTGATTCTCCTCCACATCCCCCTGGGACGATTTGTCCAACTTGGGATTCATCAACCCTTTCATACAAAATTTCTACTCGTGTAGGACTCCACCAATAACCGTCATAACGTTCAAATTCTTCTTGAGTAATAAATGATGGGACACCGTTTGAAGTATTTGGTAAACTATTGTCACTTTTGAAGACACGAATTCCATTCCTTTTAGATTTAATTTATTTTAGATATAAATTATTTTTAAGTTTGAAAGAACAAAACAAGTTAGAATGTTTTAGGTGTTCAAATCAAATACTTAATTCCAAGAGGTATGGGTTTGAGTACCCGAACCCATATACCAGGACATTTTTCAACCCAAAAAGAGACCTGATATAAAAGCTGATCCGAAGAAAATGTTTAAAAACCCGATCCAAAACCACCACAACTTTTTTTCTAAAAAAGGCTTCTTCCGGATTCCAAGACTAGAGTCTAATTTAGGAAAGAGGGAATAATAATTGTAAATGGTTGCTGAAAGAGAGAACAAATCCAAAATAAAACTCGTCGAAATTAAAAAATTGCGGAAGTTTTTAGCTTTATGACAGCCCAATCCTATAATTATTCTAAATTTTGTTCAAGAATCTCACCAAAAAATTTTTTCGAAAAAAATAAAAAACAAAACCTATCAATAAATAATTGATTCCCAGAGATAAAAGCAACAAAGTCTGAGGTTATTTTGCAAAAAGAAGCATTCATCAAAATAGATTGTGGAGGTAGCCATTGAGCAATTTGTGAGCGGATATTATTCTTTAAAGAAAAAAATTTTTTTATAAAAATCAAAAAATTAAAAGAAAACCTTATAAACAAAAAGTTGAGTAAATGTACAAATTAAAAATGCCCCATTTTCTGCATGTCTTTCATAGGAAACTACCCCAGAAGATAATTGGCCTCGTAAACGTTCATAATGGAGAGCCAATTCTGAGGGCAATTTGGATTGTTGTTGGTCATCTGTTGATAAATCTTTTGAAGGGGTTTGAGGCTGAAACTTGAAAGAAAAAAATTTTTTGATAAATTTTTTCCGAATTACTGAAAATATATTAAGAGGGCAATTTTAATTTTCGGTTAGAAAATTGTGGAATTTTTGGTCACCAAAAAATTCAACTTGATCTCCTTATGGTTTTTAATCTTTTGAAACCTATAACTCGACACAGAATCACTTCCTAAAATAAAGAGTCAGGCCCATAGCCAGGATTTTTTTTCGGGGGGGGGGGCCAAGAAGGAAAAATTTTATTTTCAGCGCCTCAGGCGAAAATTTTGAGAATTTTAGGAGAATCGTCCCCCTAAAACACCATAAAAATTAACCTGCATTTTAGCTGCAAAATCAAACATTGGCTTCAACTCCAAAATTGGTCGTTCTTCCATTAAATCATCAGAATTTAAAGGTAAATCGTCTAAATAAAAATAATTTTGAAAGAAGTATATTTTACTGATACCTAGAAAAAATGAGGAAGTGTTCTTTCGATATTCTAATTTCTAAACCGAATTCAAAGTTGGATTTAAAATTTTTTTCAGAACCCAGACAGCACACTCGACTAGAGATCTGCCTGGGTCTGGACCAATGCCTGGGGGTTTTTCCTGTACCCAGAGTCCAGGCCGAGGCATTTTTTGACCTTCCTGGTTTTTTCTAAGCCTGGGTTTTCCTGAACTACAGGCCCAGGATCCGGCCTTGGTCAATAAATCAAATCCAGAGTAAAGGAAGGCCCAGGCTTTCCAAAAATCTCGATCTCTACACTATTACCCAATCCGGTTCCCGGAACCAAAAAACACCGGAACTTTCCGAAACCGGAACTTCCGATGACTCAACTACTGGCGACCCCAAGAAATATCAAAAAAAGCACTTCTTCCCCCTTTTTCTAAGGACCAGCAAAATTTCCAAAAAAAATTTTTAAAAATTAAAAAACCTAAAGAAATTTCAGCATGCATCAATATTTGATTGAAAGACGAATCTCCTGGAGCCGCTGCCAATCCAAAAATTGTTGGTTTCCCATTGCCACTACAAACAATTTCCAAATTGCTAATCATTTCTCCAAGTGAACGTTTAACTTCTGTTCTCCAAAATTTTACATGTTGAATATAATGCTCCCAATTAGATTCCAAATGAGGCGCCATTATTTTTTTGAAGAAAAATAAAAATTTAATTTAAGAGAAAAAAGTTCTCTGAAAATGAAGGGAAATTAATTAAAATTTAAATTTTGTTTACGACAATTTTTAATTTTACGAAGAAAAAAAGTTTGAGACAAAAAAAAATTTTTCCCCAATTATTTGTCTGTCACACTCATAAAACGTAAAATGATTGATTGGTAATTATAACAATTAATAAAAAATAAAATGATTACCACAAATTAATTATTAAATAAATTCAGGTGAAAATTAGTGTCGCCCCCGCACTTTTTATTGCGGGAGTGGAACCCGCGAGACCCAGTCAAGAAAAAATTTTTAGAAATCCTTGGTTTTGATAAATCAGAAATGATTACGGGAGATTTAGATGATCAAAAACTGCCGTGTAATTTTGGGGATTAAACAATTTTGGGTGATATGAGAGGATAAGAGGATGGTAGGCATTTAAAGGTTTCAATTGATGATTAAAATTAAAACGAGATCTAAAGCAGTGGATTTTTCAATTAAGTCGTTTTTATGTCAACAATTTTTATTTTCCAAAGTTTTGAAATTTGTAACTTTTGGCTAAAGGATTGGCGTTATGTTTTTATTTTTTTCCATTGTGGTAAGAGAAAAAAGTGATGAGTGAGTATGTTAAAATTGAGAGACGGTTAGACATTTTACAAAATAAAAAGATGTTAGAGTCCTAATTGATGCTTTAAGCCAGACTTTGTACTTTGGATCCGCTCCCGTACTTTATGATTTGTGTGTTGCGGGGTTTGTCCCGCGGGTTAAGGCAAAGATTTTTAGGGAAAAAATCGCGTTGCAATAAAGCTGGGCTTCAGATACATATTTCCTTTTTTCAGCTAATACAAATGTTTATTTATTCGGCGGCTGAGAGCGAACACCCGCATCTTTAGTTGACCGGACTGATGTGCTATCCATTACACCATGCCGCTTCCTGACAGCTTTAGAATTAGATAGCTTTGTTGATTTTACAATGGGGGAATACGCAAGCATGCTTTTACTGAGCTCTATTGAGAATCCTTCGGTTTCTAGCGAAAATCATTACCACTCCTGCCATAATATGAATAAACAAAAATTGCCTTCCTCTCTTAAAATCGAGGAACCAGGCCCATAGCCAGGAAGGTTTCCTTTCCCATATAATTTTCCTGACTACGGGCCTGCAGCGCTTTGCTCTCACAGAACGGATTTTATCAAAGCAGGCGCAATATTACGAAAACACGGCAAGTCGAATAAAGCGACTAGGGGAACGCAGCTTTCCCCCCTTCATTTTCTCCCCCTTTTTTGTCGAATTTTTATTTAATTATTTTATTTTTAGATTACTTATAATTTACTGGATTTCAATTTTGTTTGAATCTCTCACTTGTTTAAATTTTCAATTAGCCATAATATGAATAAACTGCCTTCCTCTCCCAAAGTTTCAGTGTAAATTTTTTTTAATTTTTTTAATTTTAAAAATTCTCTTTTTAAGACTAGCCAATAATGCATTGTTTCCACCTTCTGATGAATCCGACGATGAGGAAAAAGATGTAAAAGTGGAGCATCAACAATTGCCGTCGTCTTCTTCTACTAAAGTTTCAGTGTAAGGCATTTTTTAAATTAAATTTTAATTTTTTAATCTTTCTAATTTATTAGGGATGGGAACTCCTTAGGGTCTTTTTGCAGACATTTTATTCATTATGTACACACAGCTCTTCCTCATTTACTCTATTTCCCTTAGGAAAATTTTTCCATTTTTCTCAATCATTTCTTCTCTTTTCTATGATTAAATGCTTGAAGAAAATATTGGCTACTCCGAAAAGAGAATAAAATGTCCGCAAGAAGTCAGTAGGGACAACGGAAAATTATTCTTTTTAGACCCCTTGATTAATTCTGGTCGAGGTCCTAACCAGTTTATTAACCTTGACTCCAGGAAAAATCAAGGAACGCTGAAAAATGTCTTGATTTTGACTTTGGATCCAGGAAAAATCAAAGGCTCGATCCAGATCCAGGCCGATCTATGTCCTTTTTTCCTGATCCTGCGCAAGCGTCAGAATCAAGGGTCAAGACTGTTTTTTAGAAGCCACCTTCTTCCTCTCCCTTCCCTCTATTTCTTTTTATTTTAAAGAAAATATTTCAATTTTTAGTGTTACAGCCCTTGTTCCATAACGATAATTTTTAGAGTTAGGATAAGTACAGGAATTAATGTGAAGGAAAAAGGGCCCTAAACTATCTTGGAACCATAAATTTAATGTGCATTCTTTTAAACTTTCAAATTTTCTAGTTTGGCCAATAATGCCCTTCTTCCACCCTCAGATGATAGCAACGAAGAAGAAGATGATGAAGTTAAGCCTAAAAATCGGGTCAAATTTGGAAGCATTGAGGTTTACAAATTTGGATTTGCACAAGGAGTTGATACTGTTCCTTCAAATGGATGTGTTTCTTTGGGTATAAATTTTAATATATTTTTTACTTTTTTTTTTAAAAATTTCCAATTCTTTTTAACGCTGCACTTCTTTTTTTGGGGCCTAGATTTACTCCAAAATTTAATTTGTCTTAAAAATATTAAGAAATATTTTTTAGAATATCAAGACGATTAGGCTTTTTTGAAAAAAATTTGGGCAAATAAAAATAAATTTTTTCCTTTCATTGGAAATTTTTTTTATTTATTGCTAGAACTGTTACTAAGTCCTGGGTAGAGATTGTGATTTTTTGAAAGTCTGGGCTTATTCCTGGACTCTGGGTTTGATTTATTGACCTGGGCCGGATTTTGGGCCTGTAATCCAGGAAAACCCCAGGCCCAGGAAAGACCCAGTAAGGTCAAAAAATGCCTGGGCCTGGACTCTGTGTACAGGAAAAACCCAGGCCTTGGCCCAGACCCAGCTCGATCTCTAGTCAAGGGCAGAAGGGCGAACTTCTCTAAGACCTTTTTACTTTTTTTAGTTGAAAATTTATTCTAAAATTCAAAAAAAAAAATTATTTTTTCCTTTAAATTCATCTTAAAAATATTTCCAAATCCACACAAATTTTTAAAGGTATGGAACGTCAACACCACGCAAAGCACACCTTCACAGTAGACGAATTTCTGATTTACAAGCAGGCTGAGAACGTTAGTACTTAATTTAACTTAAAGTTTATAAGCCTATTTAAAACAACTTGACCAGTGTGGGGCTGTAACTCAGTGGTAGAGTGCTCGCTTCGCATGCGAGAAGTCGCGAGTTCAATCCTCGCTGGCTCCAAAAAGTTTTTTATCAAAGGAAAAATTTATTTGCGGACTAAAAATTGATTTTAAAAATTTCGAAAAAATTTTTTTTTAATTTTTAGGGTCATAAAAAATTTTTTTTGAAATTTTTTAAATATTTTTTTAAATATTTTTCATTTATTTTAATTTTTTTAAAAATTTTTTTAAATTTTTATAGGGAATTTTAATAAAATTATAGAACCTGGTTATAATACCTGGACAAAGAAAAAGAAAATTTTTTAATATTTTTAAATTTAATTTAAAAAAAAAATAAATATTTTTCGAAAATAAAGGAAATAAATCCTCGATGGCTCCAAAAAATTTTTTTTGTGGGGGGAAAATTGATTTTTAGGATATTTTTTACTTGGGAGAAGTGATGAAATGATAAGGAAAAAATTTTTTCTTGTTCAAAAAAAAATTTTTTTTGAACAAAAAAAAATGTTTTTAAGCTTAAAAATTTTTTTTTATTTTTTCAGAGAATGAAATACAGAAATTGGTTTTCTACTTCACAAAAATTGGAAGAATCTTTGAGGGAAGAAAAACCGCCTTCTAAAAAGAAGAAAAGAATTATGGCTGATAAAGCATTGGAACAAAGCTGTAGTAACTCAGAAGATGAATATTTAGTTAGTGGAGAAGAATACTTTGATGAATGCAAAGTTTATGAACCTTTAAGAAGGGCTATATTGGAAGATTCGGGAGTTGTTATTGATCAGGTTTTTTTGTTAATTTTTATTTTTAATTTTTTTGAGGAGGGGGGGGGGGTCCTTTTTTATTTTTTAATGATTTTAAACATTTTGGGGCCAAAATTAGATTTGCTAGGTTTTCTGTGGGCCGGGGAAATTTTCAAAATTCCTGGTATTGTTCCTGTTTCCTTCGACATACATATACCCTCGGGCGTTTTAGACAAGTGAGCTAATAATAAATGATAGCTCATTCGATTGGGCTGTATGGTACATAACAGTGATCGCACCGACCCGATTCACGATTCCTAAAAATCGTGAATTCCCGACGATTTTGGTTTGTGAATTCACGAAAATAGGAAATTTAACTTTCTGTCGGCGCGATCCCTAGCTCGATAGGATAAATTTTGAAAAAAAGCCCCTATTCCAAATTCCCAAAAAATTTTTTGGGATCAAATTAAGTTTTGGTTGAAACAGGTTGACTAACCAAAAACCACCAAAAAAAATCTTTTTTTCCTTTTTAAAATATTTTTTCTGAAAAATTTTTAATTTTATAGAATGTCACTTCAAATACATATGCAATATCCAAAAGTCGCAATAAATGTGGATGTCAATGTAGAGGTGGAAAATGCTTACCAAACAAATGTGAATGCGCTCGGAATGGAATCAAGTGCCAGGTTGAAAATGTTTGTGTATTTTTTCTTCTCTAGTAAAAACATTTATTGGGATTTTTTTGCCCCCATAATAGTCCTAATATTAATTTTTCAATAATTAATATTTATCTGACCTTAAAGACAAGATTCTGGTTCAGGCCGAAGACAAATCTAGGAGAGATATTTTTCTTCTTTGTGCTCCCTAAAGTTTGCTGAACCTATTTAGGGTTGGCGGCGCGATCCGACTCGGTCCGAAAGATCGAGTCCGGCATTGGTTCTTGGCCCGAAAAAGACTTAGTCGAGCCGGCCCGAAAAATGAAGCTCGAAAAAGACTTGGCCGTCGGCCCGACTCGAAAACCCCAACTCTAGTGCTATTATTAAATATTCCTCCAAAATATAATTTTCTTCTTCCAAAATAATTTTTGTGACCAGAAGTAAAAGAACCTCGCAAGGATCAAAATTTAATGTTTTTCGAACCTTCCCTCATTCCAACTTCCCAAAAAATTCCTTTTCCTCCCCCTTTCAAAAAATTTTTTAGACTCTCAATTTTTCAATTTAAGGTTGATTATACAATTCCTGAATCAAGTCCAGTAATAGGCTATCCTTGTCGTTGTACAGCAAAAAATTGTAAAAATCCAGAAGGTAGAACAGAATTAAATGTTTTAAGAATACGAACACATTTTTATCAAACAATGATGCGTTTAAAAGATGCTACTAAAAAATTTGGTAGGGCTAGTATTTAAATAAGGAAAGGGAAAAAATTTTTTTGTGAAATTTTAATTAAAATATATTTTTTATTCAAAAAAAATTTTTTTTGTCGCAGAGATTGTTTTTAAAAAATATTATTTTTTAATTTTAATAATAAAGCTAAAATAAAAATTATTTTTTAGTCAAAAATTTATTTTACAAAAAAAAATTTTTTTTAATTGGCTTTAGTTTAGGAAATGTGTCCCATGAACTTTTAAGCGTCCCATAAGTGTTTAAGGTAGAGTTTGACCCCGAATTTTGAGGGCACGTTTTTCAGGGAGCGTTAGAGGATGACGACAATAAATTGTGAGTGATGTTCTGTCAGTCATCCTCCAACGCTCCCCGAAAAATGCCCTCATGATTCGGGGTCAACCTCTAGTTTAAGGACATACAGGGTCAGAAAGTTACTTAAGATGACTGGTAAATTTACTTATGATTTGCTTAAGATGACCAAGTCATAACTTAAGATGACTGGGTTTTTTTAGTTCTCATGTGGGACGCTTGAGCGATCATGTGACGCATAAAACTCAAGGGACGCATGTCCCAAACTAGAGCCAAAAAATTTTATCAGGGTCGGAAAGTTAGGTACTTAAGATGACTGGGAGATGACCAATAACTTAAGATGACTGGGTTTTTGCTAGTTTTCATATGGGACGCTTAAGCGATCATGGGACGCATAAAAACTTCATAGGACGCAAACTAGACCCAAAAAATTTTTTTCATAATCACAATTTATTCCCCTTCAAAATCTCGCAAGGGAATATCCAAAATACCAGTTGCTTCTGCACTGCTAGCTGGGACTTCCGCACCAGAACAAAGCAATAAATCATCGGCAGATATCTGAGAAAAATTTTTAGAAAAAAAATAAATTATACTATAAATTATACTCTTACAGCAATGTGGCGAACGCCTCTAGCCGATGTTTTTCTGTAGTTGTAAATCTGTTGTATTGATAAATACTCTTTTAATTTTTAATAATTCTGATTAAAGAATTCTGATTTTTTTTATTTTCGGGTGTAACAGCAGACTTAAGTTTCCCAGAAATTAATAAAAATTCTGATTTTTTATATGTATGTAAGCGGACTTTTGTGTTTAATTTTCCGGAAATAATTCTGATTTTTGTATTTTATTAAAAATACAAAAATTCTGATTTTTACATCCAAGTATATAAATATATTCTATAACCGGAAACTTTTCTATTTAATTTTCCGGAAACTTTTCTATTTAATTTTCCGGAAAATTTTCTATTTACTTTCCGGAAAATTTTCTATTTACTTTCCGGAAACTTTTCTATTTAATTTTCCGGAAATAGTTCTGATTTTTTATGCACATTTTTAAACAATAAAAAAAATTCCAACCCTAATTCTAGTCACATATGTTGGCGCATCAAATATCACAAATATTCGAGCACACGAATTGGGTAAAATTGGAGTTAACCACATATGGTAAGGCTTATTTGTATCATTACACCCATCAATTAATTTATCGCTAGTTCGAGGATCGTCTTTTACTGAAGTTAGACAATTTACGCTTTCTGGGAAGGCTGCTAAATTTTGGGGGTGTAAACGTATTAGTTTGTCTTGACGATTGAAGAGTTCTATTCCATTTAATCCAATGTAGAATTCATCTCCCCAAGTGGAAAGAAGGCGAAGTTGAAAAATGACTTGAAAATATGGAGAGTTTAATTGAAAATTCTGATTTTTTTTAATTCTGATTTTTACAAAAATTCTGATTTTTACGAAAATTCTGATTTTTATAAAAATTCTGATTTTGTTTTAATTCTGATTTTTATAAAAATTTTGATTTTTTAAATTCTGATTTTTATAAAAATTCTGATTTTTTTTTAAATTCTGATTTTTTTTAAATGCTGATTTATTTAAAATTTTGATTTATTTAAAATTCTGATTTTTATATTCTATTTATGTTTTCCGGAAACAATTATTCAGGAGATATTTTCCGGAAGAATTAATTCTGATTTTTCCAAATCTTCCGGAATCTTTTAATTAAATTCTGATTTTTGTATTTTATTAAAGTTTTCCGGAAACAATTATTCTATTTTAAAAGAAAGATAGGTTTCCGGAAGCAAATATATTATAATTTCCGGAAAATTCTGATTTTTTATTTATTATTCGTTTATTTTATTCATGCTTCAGGAATTACTTATTCTGGTTTTTATGTACTATATATTTTCTCGTGTATTTATTTAAACTTGGAGTATGTAGTGTATTTTAAGGGGAGAAATAAATTCTGATTTTTCTGAATAATAACTAATTATAATCTTTCCGGAAAATTCTGATTTCTCTTAAGTTTTAACTAAAAACACAAATATTTACATGCAGCAACAGAGCGTGTTTGTGGACGTGCGCAACTCAAAGGACGCTGCAGGGTACAACGATCGAAGAGAACATCTTGAACAAAATCGAAGAAAACAAAACCTGGAAATAAAAAATATTTTTTTCTATTAATTTTAAATTAAAATTAACCAGGCGCCCTTCTCAATAAAATATCGCCCAATCCATTAATCGGTCGGCCATTAGCATAAAAACGGGCATAACGTACACCAGCATAGCTTAATTCAGTTGAGGCGTTGTAATTCCAAATACTTATGCCTGCAATAGAAAATACTTTTAAAATTTTTTCCGGAAAAATAATTATTTCCGGAAACTGTTTATTTATGTTTCTGGAAATGAATGACCATTTTCCGGAAACAAATGTGTTCCGGAAATATATATTAAAGCTTTCCGGAAATGAATAAAAGTTTTCCTGAAATTTTTTCCGGAAAGAAATAAAAGGTTTCCGGAACATTTCCGGAAAAATATTTCCGGAAATTTTTTTCGGAAAAAAGCTTTCCGTAAAATTTCCGGAAAGAAATAAGTTTTCCGGAAAAATAAAAACTTTCCGGAAATGTTTCCTGAAATAAATAATTGCTCCGGAAAGTTTTCCGGAAGAAAATAAAATAATTAAAGCTTTCCGGAAATAAATTAAAAATCCTACCTGATATTCTTACTTCTCTTGGAAATGTAAAACTCAAAAATATTGAAGATTGTTTTAATAGATCATCCTCAGAAATTTCTTTATTCATTATCCACATATTTTTAGGATCACAAGTTAAATTTATACCATTTAGTAGACTTTAAATTAAAAAAAATATTTTGTTACGAAGTCAGACCTCATTGGAAGAAACACCCAATATTGGATACTCTCTATTTAAGAAACACCCAATATTGGATACCCTCTATTTGAGAGACACCCAATATTGGATACCCTCTATTTAAGAAACCCCCAATATCGGATACCATCTATTCAATATACTCCCAATATTAGACATACTTCTATTTAAGAGACACCCAATATTGGATACACCCTCTATTTAAGAGACGCCCAATATTATACACCCTAAATTAAAGCACCCAATATTAGACACACTTCTATTTAAGAGACTTTCATTATAAAGTAGTATATTCTCAACCCCACGGGAGCATCCCATAAGCGTCCGGCTGTAATTTAAAAATTTCCAACTTATTCAAATCTCCCGTCTTTGCTGGCTGCCTTTCCTCATTAACCACTACAACAGGTTCACACCTTACCACGCACTCCTTAGCAAGATTGTCGTCTATTGGAGCAAATCCTGGACCCAGAAATTGAACACCTGTGAGGCCTATGGAGTCAGCACTTCCCCAACTTTCTACTAACTCCATGTGGAATAACTGAAGATTTTTTTTTAATTTTAAAATAAAATTAATTTTTTTAAAGACCTTCCCAACACAACTATCATCTTCTAAAATTTCTTCCTCTTGATTTTTATTTTCTTCGCTTTCTTCCTCCTCCCCTTTATCTTTTTCTTTTTGATTTAAATCAGAATTTAAATTATTTTGAAGAGAAAGAGAACATTCTCCATCAGAAACAGGAGGAACTTGACGTGGAGGAGAGGCAGATGTTGGGGCTATATTATTATTGTACCCGCCTGTTGTAGGGCGAAAATGAGCGGCGGTTACGCAGGGTAATTCATTGGATTGTACTAGAGCTGAAAATACAAATTTTGTATTTTCCAGAAAAATTCTGATTTTTGTATTTTATGTATTTTTATTTTTTCTGAAAAATTCTGATTTGTATGAAAGTTTCCGGAAACTAACTAAGTTTATCAGGAAAAAAAGAGGTTTTCTGGAAGTACCAACAAATTATTTTAATGTTTCCGGAAATATTATTGTTTCCGGAATTTGCATAAATAATTCTGATTTTTCTAGAATTCTGATTTTTTTATTATTCTGATTTTTAAAAATAATCTTGATAATTCTGATTTTTTATTATTCTGATTTTCAAATGATTTTGATAATATTGATTTTTTCTTTTTACTAACGTTCCATTCTACCAGCAGCCGCAAATCCTGCTTGTTGTAAAGCAGCCAGAACTGATAAGTTATGTTGATTGCTATCCCCCAGCGAATCATGTTGCTGTTGCTCAGGGATTTGTAAAATTTGTTCATCATGTTCTGCAATTTTTGCAAGAATTTCTTCGTTTGTTGTAAATAAAATTGTCTGTAAAATGGAAATTGGGAAACTAAAAAATAGGAAAATAATACAAATTTTACTGTTGTTAAAAATCAGAATTTATTTTATCTATATTTTTATAAACCTTCCGGAATTTATATAATATTTTCTGAAAATATATATTCCGGAAAAGAGTGATTTGTATTTTCGAGAAATACACAATAATTCTGATTTTGTATTTTATGTATTTTTTGTATTTTCCGGAATTTATACCTATAAGTAGTATATTAATTAAACCTTCCGGAATTTATATTTTCCGGAAACAATATATATATATATTATATATTCCGGAAAAGACAATTCTGATTTTGTATTTTATGTATTTTCCGGAATTCATACCTATAAGTATATTAATTAAACTTTCCGGAATTTTTATAGAAATCAGAATTTATTATATTTTTGTAAGCTTTCCGGAATTTATATTTTCCGGAAATTTATATAACTATACCAGAATTTATTTATATATTAAACCTTTCCGGAAAATTAATAAATTAATTTTTTAATAAAAATTCTGATCATTATTGCCTTACATCTCCCGTTGTTGAATTACCAACGGCGCAACAAATCTCTCCATAAAATATACAAAAATTGTCTAGCCATATTCTCAAATTGCGAACACCTCTTAATGCATGTATTCGTGAACCAGAATAATTCTTTCAAAAAAATTTTTTCTAATTAAAATTAATTATTTAATTTACCCTAATTCTAATCATAGCCAAAGTTTGAGCTCCACGGAAATGTGCACCTATATGGATTGGTTCGACTGAGGGCAAAACACGGTAATTACAAAGCCTAAAAATTGGGAGAATATTTTTGTAAGATTCAAATAAAAATCAGAATATTTTAAGGAAAATTTATATATAAATTATTAAATCAGAATTATACAGGGAAATTATTTCCGGGAAGCCTTATAAAACCAGAATTGTATTTCCGGAAATAAAAAGTTTTATAGAATATTTTCCGGAAAAATTATTATTTAAATACAAATCAGAATTATATTTCAGGAAGGATTCTGGTTTTATAAAATTAAAAGTATACTTCCGGAAAAAGAATTTTGATTTTAAATATTTTCCGGAAACTACAGAATTTATAATTTAAATATAAATTGTCCCGGAAAACTTTAAAAATCAGAATTATTAAATAAAATCAGAATTATTTTTAAAAAATCAGAATTAACAGAAAAAAATCCGAACTAGTAAATAAAAACCAGAATTACTAAATAAAAATCAGAATTATTTTTTAAAAATCAGAAAAATCAGAATTATTAAATAGAAATCAGAATTATTAACTAAAATCAGAATTATTAAATAGAAATCAGAATTATTAACTAAAATCAGAATTATTTTTTAAAAATCAGAATTATTAAATAGAAATCAGAATTATTTTTTAAAAATCAGAATTATTAAATAGAAATCAGAATTATTTTCAAAAATCAGAATTATTAAATAGAAATCAGAATTATTTTTTAAAAATCAGAATTATTAAATAGAAATCAGAATTATTTTCAAAAATCAGAATTATTAAATAGAAATCAGAATTATTTTCAAAAATCAGAATTATTAAATAGAAATCAGAATTATTTTTTAAAAATCAGAATTATTAAATAGAAATCATAATTATTTTCAAAAATCAGAATTATTAAATAGAAATCAGAATTATTAAAAATCAGAATTACCATTGTGTATTATTATTTCTATTCAACAAATATTCACTATTATTTACAACTTCATTTCTGTTAATATTTTTACTTGTTTTATTAATTAAAGGGCTAGTAGAAGGTCTTTGTTGTTGTCTTTCCTCTCCAAATAAATTAAATAAATTTCCATAATTTTCCAAAGAATTTGTGAATGTATTAATTATTGAGGGGCGTTCTCCTTGAGAATTGAATATTTCAATACGCCCCAAACCTATATAAGTTGGGTCATCCCAAGGTGATAATAATTCAAAACGAAGTGTTTGCCCTGTTGGGAGTTCTGGAATTTCTCCAAAGTTGTCCCTTTAATTTTAAATAAATTTAAAAAATTAGAGGAAAATATGGTCGTTCCGGAAAAAAATTAAGAAAAATACAGTTAATATTATGCAATTAAATAGACTTCCGGAAAACTTGGAAAATCAGAATTTTATTCAGAATTGCTTCCGGAACAATTAATAAAAATCAGAAATTTACTCAAATTGATTCAGAAACTCTAACAAAATTCAGAATTTAAATCAGAATTGGTTCCCGAATATTAATAAAAATCAGAATTTTGACCAGAATTACTTCCGGAAAGTTAAATAGAAATAATCAAAATTATTTCCGGAAAGGTTTAAAAATCAGAATTTTGACCAGAACTATTTCTGAAATTACAAAAATCAGAATTTTAGTCAGGATTGTTTCCGGAAAGTGTAATAAAAAGCAGAATTTGTATCAGAATTACTTCAAAAACCTCTTTAAAAAATCAGAATTGATTCCGGAATGTCTTACAAAATCAGAATTTTAATCAGAATCGCTTCAGAAGCCTTTTTAAAAAATCAGAATTTGTACCAGAATTGCTTCCGGAATGTTTTACAAAATCAGAAATTTAATCAGAATTGTTTCCGGAAAGCTTTAAAAAATCAGAATTTTAATCAGAATTATTTTTAAAAATTAAATTCTGATAGAGAACAAAAAGACTGTTTTTAACATTTACTAAATAAATACCATTCTTGTCTTCCTAATTCATTATTTACTGCATTATTATTACATGAAGAATTATTTAAACAATCATCTTCTTGTTGATTCATTTTTTTATTCAAAAATAAAAATTATTTGAATAAAAATAATTTTTTAAAAAATATTTTAAAGGAGAAAAAGGAAATTAATTAAATAAAAAATTAAATAAAATTAATTTAAATATATTTATTAAAAATATTTTAGAGAATTTTTAAGCTTAATTGAAACGAAGAATAAAATTCCCAACAAAAGAAACGAAAAAAGAAAATAAATAAAAATTACTAAAAAGGGGTAACCATGGGAATATTGTGTATAGTTTTATATTTTTAGACTTTTTTGAATAAAAAAGAATAATCAGAATTATAAATTTTATTTTTTTGAACACTTTAAAGAAAGAAAAATTGAAAAAGAAATTTTTAAAAATTAAAAAAAATTAAATTTTAAAATTAGCTTAATTTTTCTAGTGAACTTGACCAAGATTTTCGACCAGAACCAGTCCTCTACTGAACCAAAAATTCTGAAATTTTTCCAAGAGTTAGATATCATCAGTAAAAATAATCATGCAAAATTTCAGAATTTTAGCTTTTCATTTGACAATGTTAATAGCTTTAGAACAACCTCTCCACTCCATGTTCTACACGACCAAGTTTATCGACCAGAACTAATCCTCTACTGAACCAAAAATTCTAAAATTTTTAAAGATGTCAGATATCAATAAGAAGGATAACTCTGCAAAATTTCAGAATTTTAGCTTAAAATCTGACAATTTTACACGCGCCAGAACAAATTTGGCACGCCAAAATCCCACGCTTAAACAACCCTATAACTAACAAAATTACGGTATTATTGGATTGCCAAAATTTATTTTATTTTTATTTAACAGCACAATGTGTGTTTTGCAAATTATCCGGATTGGATTAAATAGAAAAAGAGACAAAAACAAATTAAGGCAAGTATAATATTATTTAAATTAAATTTATATTGGTAAATGCTTTTTGGTTCTTCCAAGAAAATTGTCTTGTTTTTATAAAAATGTAATTTTAGTTTAAACATTTTATAGTCAGATTTATTTAAATTAGTAAAATTAAATTTTTTTATTTAAATTTATTTTTTAAAAATTTTATTTAATAAGGATTGCTTGAAAGGGGAACGTTGAGGGGCGCTGTGTGGAGGAGGCTTAAAATTATAACTTGTAGAGAACCTAAATTTCTGAAATTTTGTATAGACCTTCATAATAGTCTCCTCTAACTTTCTACAAAATTTCAGAATTTTTGACAAGCTATCTAAAAAGTTATGGCCAAAAAAGTACAAAAAAATTGACGCTTTCACTCAAAAATTGGACTTTTTTGGCCATAACTTTAAAAATATTTTACCAAAAATTCTAAAATTTTTAAAATCGTTAGCTAACACTGTTAGGTATATTTATGGAAAATTTCAGAATTTTAGGTTACGTCTAGCTATTTTTATAACAGCGCGCCTAACGTTACTTCAGCCAAAATCTTGTTTTTCCCCTAAAGTCAGAATTTAATTTTTAATTATTTTATATGAGTAATAATAATCAGACTGATTTGATAAACGAAGAAAATAGAGAGGAACAAGCATCAACAAATAATACAGACCCGTTAAATGTTTTCTCAATTCCTTATATTAATACAAATTTAAGTAATGGTTCAACACAATTACAACAGCAGAATGCTTGTAAGAAGATTAATAATTAGGCTAATAATAATTGTTTCCGGAACTTTTCCAGAAAGCTAGTTATGAACTTAAGTTTACGGGAATATTTCTATTTATTTCTAGTTTCCGGAAATAATGTTTCTCTCCGGAAAATAATTTTTCCGGATAGACTTTAAGTTCTTAAGTTTCCGGAAAATAATTCTATTTTTTTTTTTCCGGAAAATAATTCCGGAAAATAATTCTAAATAATAATTCTATTTGATTGATTGATTGATTGATTTTTAAGTTTTCCGGAATGTATTTGGGTATAGAGTTTGTCTGTTGACTTTAGATAACCACAGTTTTAGCTTCCAGTTAACCCTACGTTTTCCGGTTACATTTAACGGGTACGGCCCACCTTGTCGCGCGGCCACCTTGTCGCAGAGCCATAACTTCCTTCAAGTTTTCCGAATCTTACCAAATTTAATATTAAACGAGACCTCTCATCGAGCCAAAGAGATTGGTACCAAAATTGATAAGGGCCAGAAATTTTTTAGCAAGTTATGGCTCTGCGACAAGGTGGCCGCGCGACAAGGTGGGCGTGTCCCACATTTAACTATTCTTTCACAGCTCCACACTCAATGATGGCTGCACTGGGCCCTTTCATGGGTTTTCCAACCAGTGCATTTTATGCTGGAATACCCTCAACAGGTAATCAACTTGCCCATCATGCTCAAAGTCTTATGTACGGACATTATGGAAATACTTCATATGGGCAACAACAACAAATGCAGCAAATGATGATGGCTGTTGCAAGGCGTGTTTAATTCAAGGATTATAGACTGATCTCGCTATTAGAGTGAAATCCCCCTCTATTACTTAGTGTATTCTCTAGTTTGGTTGGCCATTGGGTGGAAGATAACAATAACCTCCAATTAAAATATAGCTCATTATAAGTGTAGGGATGATTTACCTAGCAGTATTTAAAGCGCTTAGGCGGGAGTTAGACGATCTAAAAATGGGAAAGAAAAGGCGTTAGTCGATGCCTCGGTAGCTCAGAGGGAGAGCTCCTGTATGTGGTGAGCGAAGGCGCCTAGCAGGTCGTAGAAGGTCGAAAGAAGGTAAAAGGTCGAAGTTAGAAGATCGAATAGAAGGCCTAGAAGGTCGCAGGTTCAAATCAAGCCCGCTGGCTAAACTTTTGCAAACTCTCTTAATATACCCCAAGAGTGATCTCATAGTGAGGACCATCTTTTTATTCCTAACACCCCCAAACTTTAAAGGAGTCTCAAAAAATATTTTTTAGAGACACCAATAACCAACAGCAACAATATAACAATAATACTCGAGGACGCCAACACACTCAAACAAATTTATCTTCAAATATAACAACATCATCTACTATTAATTTACCTATTTTTAATAGTTTAGGTATTTTATTTTAAATTAAAGGAAGAAAATATTTTTTGAATTAAACCAGCCTTAACAACAACATCGTCTTCGGCTACTTCTGCCACGTCTTCCTCTGTTTTCCCTCTTTCTGGTGAATTTTAAATTATTTAACAAACTTGTTTTTAATTATAACACGCTTAAGTTTATAATTTTAACACGCTTAAGTTTTAAGTTTGTAAACTTAAGTTTTTAAGTTCACACTTAAGAAACTTGTTTTCCGGAAAAATTTTAAGTTTTCCGGAAATGTATTCTATAAATAAACTTTTTATTACAACCCAGCATAGTTGAGTGGTGGTGTAGTGGTGTACGTGTTAGACTTGCTACCTTATGATTGGTAGGGTTCGATTCCTGTTAGCTCCTTCCTTTTTCGTTTCAAAGAAAATCACATATTTTATGAGTCAATAAAATTTTTCATTCAAAAAATAATAGGGAAAAATTTTTTTATTCAAAAAGAATTATTAGAAAAAAAAATTAAAATTTGTTAAAGGATTCTCTCATTTATCCTCCATAAATCCAAACGAACGTAGAAAACAACGCCGAATCCGTACAACATTTAGTTCTGCACAATTACAACAATTGGAATGTAGTTTTGCAGAAACACATTATCCAGATATTTATATGCGTGAAGAATTGGCTTTAAGGATTGAATTGACTGAAGCTAGAGTTCAAGTTTGGTTTCAGAATAGAAGGTAAGGGGCATTAGAGGGATGTTTGGGCGCGGGGATGTTGTTGGCGCGGATGCTCATAAAATTGTCAAATAAAAACCTACAGACTTGAAATTTTGTAAGGATGTTCTTGAAGGTGTTTGCTAGGTCTTCTAAAAATTTCAGAATTTTTGGTTGAATAAAAGAAAAGTTATGGCTGAAAATTTTGATTTTTCTGGTCGAAATGCTATCATTTCTTGGAGTTTTTTGGCCATAACTTTTCTTATACAAAACCAAAAATTTTGAAATTTGTAGAGGAATTAGTTAACACTGTAAGAGAGATGTATGCAAAATTTCACGGCTAAAGGTGCCCAATTTTCAATTTTATGAGGGATAATAGGTTACCAGTTTAACTCGTTTTTTAATAGAGCAAAGTGGCGAAAACACGAAAAACAACGAAAATTAAAAGAGGAGGAAGACGAGACTTCTGCAACAATTAATATAATTAATGGATTGACTTGTAGCAGTGAAAATAATAATGTTTTGTGTTCAACAAGTAATAATAATTTTGCTGAAGGAATTGAAGCAAATTGGAAGAGAGGATAAAAATTAATATTTTTTTGGGGAAGAAAAAAAAATTTTTAAAGGACAAATTAGAAGGGGAATTGAAAGGGGAAGGAGAATTTTTGATTAATTATCCGGCGCCGAACAATACTTTTTACTATTGTGACTACTTAAAATAAAATAATTTTAAGGAAAATATTCTTAAGCTTACAAAAACTTAAGTTTTCCGGAATCAACTAGAAAAACAAATTCCGGAACTAGTATATTTAAAAATTCAGCGCTGGAATTAAACGGCGCCGAGCAGCCATTTTTCTTTTATTTTTGTGATAATTAATGGAAGACCTCTAATTTTTAAAATTAAATTTTAAAAAATAAATTCAACAATTTAAATTCCGGAACTAGTACTTGGGAAAATTCGGCGCTGGAATTAAACGGCGCCGAGCAGCATTTTTTACATTTTTGGTGCTTAACAAAAACCCTAAATTTTTTAAAAATCGATCGTTTAAAAATAATTTCAACAAACAATTTATAACAAAGGCAAAGAAAAATAAACAATAATGCTTTAGCAATTAAAGTTTAATTTCTCCAAATTCAACATTTTTTTTAAATTTAAAAATTTTTTTGGGTCACGCCAACAATTTTTTCTTTAACTTTTTTCCTCAAAACCCTTCTTTCCCTCAAAAAAAACTTCCAAACCTCTTCCCTCTCAAGCATTAGAATCAGCAATAGTCACCTCAACATCAACTCCAGGCTCAATTGGAATTCCAGTAATTTTCTTGAGAACATCACTTGGACTATGAAGATTTATTATACGTTTGTGAATACGCATCTGTTGTTGTTAAAAGAGAAAAATTAATATTTTTTAAAAGATTTTCTCGTTTTTGGTCTCATTGTCAGTAATCAAACTAGACTCTTTTGAGTTGGGAAACACCCACGACACAATAGACGGTATATAGTAGAGATGGAGCTGGGTCTGGACCAAGGCCTAGGTTTTTCCTGTACCCAGAGTCCAGGCATTTTTTGACCTTTCTGGGTTTTCCCTGGGCCTGGGGTTTTTCTGGACTACAGGCCCAGCATCCGGCACAGATCACTAAATCAAACCCAGAGTCCAGGCTTTTCAAAAATCTCATATTATCTAGTTTAGCAGAACCGAATAGTTAGCAGCAAGCTTGTACACCTGACTATGTGCCTAGTCAAAGCTTTGCTCCTATTTTTGACTGCCTAATGGTTCAGGTCCCATAATTGTGAAACACTACACAGAATGTTTCAAACACTACACACAACCTTCAAAAAGAGGTTGGTCCCTATCTAATTTCTCCAAGTCTGCGTTTCCGGGGGAAGAAAGTCCGCAAAAGTGGCACATCTTTAACTGCAAACAATTCGGTCAGGAAAAATCTGAAGGGACGAACAAAAGTTGCCAGAAAAAACCAAGCCACCTAAAAACCTAGAAAAAAAGAAAGGTTGCTCCCCTTAATTCCCAGTTATCCCTAACACCTTTCACGAAATTTACAAAAATCAAAAAAACCTGGAAATGATCCCAAGTCTTGGAACCTTCTCCACACGGTGTCTTACGCGTAGTAATGCGAAGCACTTTAGTCGGCATACGAATAGGGCCTTTGACAGCCAAATGTTCTTCACGAGCACCGTGGATCAGCTTTTCACAAACTTGAAAGATTCTTTTATTAAAAAATTTTAACAAAAAAAAAGAAACCTTTCTCCAACGCCTTGACGTTCTGTGAGGTCAGAATAATGCGGATACGCTCAACAGGTTGAGGTTCTTCAGCCTTCTTATCATCTTTATATGCGTAAGCCTTAAAAATATAAATTGAACTTCAATTTGGTGGTATAGGAAATTGGGAAAATTTTGGAAAGACTATGAGTAGGATTGGCGGGCTCGGAGCTGGAAAATAGTACGGAGACCCGAAAATTAATCAAAATTAAGTTTGTGGACACGAAGCCGTAAAAGTAGCAAATTCGAAAATCTCCCAGGATCCAACAATTCTACTGGCTAAAACCAATAGAAAGTAAAGGTTGGAAAGGCTGGGGACAGAGTTACGGACGCAACAAACTGGGGTGGTGGGAGGGAGGTTGGGAACAGGGTTATGGACTCAAATATCAAAAAATTCCCAAGATTCCACCGACCCTAATATGACACATGTTGAGGGAACAAAGTAAGGAAAGATTAAACCAGCTCTAGTCCCATCGACCATTTCACTTAGAACAGGTCCCATTTGTACAACGGCCTCTAACCTATAGACTAACTTAAATCAAACCTCTTTGTAAGCTTACCATGTTTATATGTTGAATTGGAAAGCTTGATTTAAATTAAATTTATATTCTTCTTTTTCTTCTAAATTTTCTGTGTTCTGTTATAGTCAGAATGATGAGAGCTGGAAAAATGAAAAAATTTAAACGAACAAGAGAAAATATCAAAAACGGAAAAACATGAAAAACGATGGCAAAAATTAGAATTGAGGTCCTGGTATTTTACAGAGGTTTAGAGATCGGCTGGGTCCAGACTGAAGAACGGCCTCGGCCCAGGTAAAAAATTCCTGGAGTTTTCCTGAAGCCAGAGTCCAGGCATTTTTGACCTTCCTGGGTTTTATTGTGCCTGGGGTTTCTCCTGGAATACAGGCACAGAATCTGGCCAAGGTCAATAAATCAAACCCGGACACAGGAACAGGCCCAGGCTTTTCAAAATTTCCGATCTCTGGTCTAGACCTTGATTTTTTCTGGATCCAGAGTCAAGATCAAGGCGTTTTTCAGTGTTCCTCGATTTGTCCTTGACTCGAGGTCAAGAATCTGGTCAAGGCCCCAAAGGAAGTAAATGAAGTATTTTAGGACCTGAGTGGAAATCAGTAAGTTTAAAATTCATGGTAACCCCAAGGACACAGAGGACCGTTATGAAAACAATGAAGAATTGATTAAGCTATCCTAGCTAACCTAAACGTAAGCTTAAAAAGAAGAATAAAACGAGAAAAAGCAAAAAAACTGTTGCTTCGTTACAATAACTTTTTTGAATTAGCGCCTTTAAAATTTAGTATTTTCCAGATTTTGGCGTTCTGTATTTTTAATTTTTAAACGCGTCAGAAAATTTTTTTCGGCTTGTTTTTCGAAGTTTTTTTCTTGTTTTTAAAGTTTTTTTTTGTTTTTTTTTCAATTATAATTTTTTTCAGTTCTTTTAAATAAACTTTCGATCAAACCAAGTCAAGTCAAGGATGCAGATTTTTGTCAAGACTTTAACCGGAAAGACTATTACGCTTGAAGTTGAGGCGTCTGACACGATTGAAAATGTTAAGGCCAAGATTCAAGATAAGGAGGGCATTCCGCCGGATCAACAGCGTTTGGTTTGTTTGTTTTGATGGATAGGGTTGTTTTGAGATCAGATGCTCTTTGTAAATCAGTCATATTTCATTGGTTGAAAAGTGTTGGGCCAAGGTCATAGGGCTTCTAGGTTCTAGAGAGCGGGCTGGATCTGTATCCAGACCTTGATTTTTCCTGGATCCAGAGTCCAGATCAAGGCATTTTTCGGCATTCCTTGATTTTTTCTTGACTCAAGGTCAAGAATCTGTCCAAGGCACGCAACCGAAATCAAGGTCAAGATTTTGTGAAAATCTCGCTCTCTACTAGGTTCCAAAGTCGCTTCTTAGGGGTTTTTTGGATCTCACTTGATATTTACTTTACTAATGTCTTGGTCAAGGCGCTTAACCAGCAAATACAACAGTCCTCTATTGCCCCCTACACAGCAGATCAAAATAGGCAAAGGCTGTTACTACCCCTTTAGAGTCTTAGCTAGAGTCTTAGACGTTTTGAAGCGAAAGAAAGAAAAAGGTATGTATCTCGGTCGAAATTCAGTTCTGAGACCTGAGTTTGGTGCCATTCGACCCAGCTCGACGAGCCGAATCGAATGATACATAAATTGAAAGACTTTGGAACCGTTTACCGGTTAAAACAAACCTAAAGGCGTTTAATACAAAATTGATGATTATAAAGCGGAATATCGGAAAATTTCTGGTGTTTTCTTTCTTAAAAGTATCTTTAGGGTATTATCTACGATATTGTAAGACAAATTTTTAAATCTATAGAGATTTGTCGAAATAAAGCTTCTCGAAGTTGGCTCTCAAAATATACCGTATCCTTATAAAAATAGCACGCGAAAAAAATAGTGTGAAAAGATGCAGAGAAAAATTCAGTCTGCACTGAAACGACTAAAAGTAACAGGCTGATCTGCTGTGCCCCTATAAGGATTTGCCCCCTAAACCTCATTTTTCTAATTTATTCCTATGAGCTTTTCTGACTCCTTTTAACATCTCAAGTCTCAATTTTCGTTTTATTTTGTCTAATTTCCCCTATTCAGATCTTTGCCGGTAAACAATTGGAGGATGGACGCACTTTGGCTGATTATAATATCCAAAAGGAGTCTACACTTCATTTAGTTCTCCGTCTTCGTGGTGGAATTATTGAACCGTCTCTTCGTCAATTGGCCTCCAAATATAACTGCGAGAAGCAAATCTGCCGGTTTATTTTTTGTTTTTTGACGGGCACTATTACCTTTATATTTCCTATAATTTCAACGATTCTGATAAGAAACTAGTAGATATTGGTATTTTTGAAAAGCCTGGGCCTGTTCCTAGGTTGCGGGTTCGATTTATTGACCTGGGCCGGATTCTGGGCCTGTAGTACAGGGAAGATCCAGGCCCAGTAAAAACCGCAGGCCCAGGAAAAACCCAGGAAGGTCAAAAAATGCCTGGGCCTGGACTTTGGGTTCAGGAAAACCCCAGGCTTTGGTCCAGACACAGCTCGATCTCTACTAGATACCGTCTATCGTGTCTTGGGGCTAGGAAGAAAAGTTAAACTGGTGTTTCTCAACTCAAAAGGTTCTAATTTGACCCAGGTCTTGGTCCAACCGTCTCTTCGTCTTTACTCCTGGTTACGGGCCTGATGTCAGCTTCTAGTAGTTCCCTGAACTGGTTCCTTTAAAAACAGAGCCCTGCTGACAGTCTTCAGGCTATTAACTAATAAAATAGTTTTCAAATATTGTCTTTAAGATTTTCCTTCCTCCTTTCTAACATCAAGTTATTTTTAAATATTTAAGTAAGTGTTATGCTCGTCTTCCTCCACGTGCTACCAATTGTCGTAAACGCAAGTGTGGCCATTCCAACGATTTGCGCATTAAGAAGAAAATTAAATAAAGAGAGGGAAGGAAGTGAAGAATATAAGGGAAGATTTTTTTAAATGATTTGTTGACAAAAAAATTTTTTGGGAGGGTTTTCTTTAATTTTTTTGTGATTTTTAACATCACTCTGTTGCGCTGAAAAAATAAATGTTATTTCTCTTTTTTGTTAGCTTAATTTAATTTTAAAAACGTTTTGGAATCGTTGAATCTTTATAATTTTTTTCTTGTCTCATGTCTTTTTCTGGAACAAAAAGTCCGCAAGTCTTGTCCGCAAATTTTTTGCGGACAAAAAAATTTTTTTTATAAATTACTCTTTTTCAGGAATACATTCCAATCAACCTTTGGACGTTTCTTTAATATTTATTCTCTTTTGAAAAAATATTTCTGGCAATGGACGTTGACGAAGAGGTTTATGCTTTAAACATTTTTGGTACTTGTGGGTTATGCCTACAGACTTTTTTGCGGATTTTTTTGCAGGCACAGTTGTACTACATTTAATCTTGCTTGATTGGTTGACAAGTGCATAGGAGAGAGGGAGGGAGAAGCTGACCATTCCGTACAACTGCGTCCGCAAAAAAGGCTAGGGATAACCCACAAGAAGTACACATTTTCTCAAATTTATGGGGAGCCCCTATTTTCTGATTCATTGTTTCGATTTTCTTTTGGAGTAATAGACTTCCACTTTAGGGTTTTTTGTAAGTGTTTAGTTTTAAGACCTCGTTTGGGATTTTTGCTATTAAAAATTTTTTTCAGATTGATGTTGTGACCAATACAGATGACGTAAACGGCGTTGTTGCCTCTGGCGATGAAGAAGACGATAAAGAATATGAAGTCGAGAAGATATTAAAGCAGAAAAGGGAGAGAGGCAAAACACTTTTTCTTGTAAGTTTTAATTACTTTTCGATTTTTAACACTAAAAAAGATATCTCGTGTCATTTGCAAAACTTTTATAGATAGTAAGTTTGCAAGTTTTGTCCGTGTCCGCCCTTAATATGTACCACAGGCCATAGATGGGTCACGAATCCTATTTTTGTTTTCCTGTTTCTAACCTACTTTTCTGACATTTGATCTGTTTGTGATATTTTTGGCTGATTGAGATTTTTGAAAAGACTGGGCCTATTCCTGGGTTCCAGGTTGATTCAATGACCTGGGCAGTTTCTTCGGCCTGTAGTCCAGGAAGAACACAGGCTCAGGAAACCTAGAAAGGTCAAAAAATGCCTGGGCCTGGATTCTGGGTACAGGAAAACCTCAGGCCTTGGTCCAGACCCATCTCGATCACTATTCATTCTAAATCTGATAATTTAAACATTTTTTAAGGTTCGTTGGAGGGGATATGGTCCCAGCGATGACTCTTGGGAGCCACAAGAAAATTTAGTTGACGGTGCCCAAGATGTTTTGGATGCTTTTTTGGAAGAACAGGCACAATTGAAAAAGAAGGGAGTTAAACGTTTGGGCAGTGAAAATATCAAAACACCGGTTTATTTTAAAGGAAATTTTTGAAAAATTGAAAAAAATTTTTTAAGAAGCGCGTAAAAAGTGCAACTCCGCTGAGTGATGTAAACGCTGAAGAAATGAGTAGTGAGAGTGAAGATGATGAATTTAAAGTTGAAAGTTCTTCTAAAAAGAAAGGCGGTGGAAAAGCGTTAGTTTTCTTTTTTTTTTTGATTGGTTAAAGTAAAAATTTTAAAGTAGAGACCGGACCGAGACGAGAAAAAATTTTTGGGATCGAGAATTTTTTGAGAGTTCGATTCTTGTATGACACTACCAGTCCGGTCTTTAATTGAAAGTCATTCGGTCACTCACTAAGGATTGTTTTGCGCCGTGGATTGAGGACCCAGGGAAAATTTTCGTTTAAAAGTTTGTTTTTCAAGCAAAAAAAAAAGATTTTTTGTCTTTTTAGACTTCCCTATTAGAGATCGGTATTTTCAAAAATCCCTGATCTGGATTTGTGTTAGTAACCTGGGCAGGATTTTTAATCCAGGAAAAATCAAAATTCGGAAAAATCCAGAACGATAAAAAAATTGCCAGGATCTGGACTCTGGATCCAGAAAAAATCTAGGCTTGATCCAAATCGAGACCGATCTCTATTCCCCATTCCTTTTCGATATAAGGAGTTCAACCCCCATTGCTTGCCACACTTATTCATCTTTTCGGATAGTTCCCAAAGTCTTCAATCCATTCTTCATTAATGAAGCCCCCCTCCCACCGAAATGGAAGAAAAAGGAGGGGGGGTGAATTAGGACAATTTTCGGCTACAACGTCTAAAATTCAAAGAATTTTTTTGTTTTTTCTGGTCGAGAGAAACTTTGATTTTATCTTTAGAACCAACAAAAGCAAAGGAGGAAAAGGTCGTGCTTCAGCTTCAGCAAAGAAGAAATCTGAAACAACTTCTACCTCTTCGCGTAGATTCTCTTCTTCAGATTCTCGTCTTGGTGTAAATACAAGCCAATCTTCATTGGTAAAACGTTGACCCTAAAGCTAAAAAATTTTTTTAAGCAAACTGCTGTTGAGTCACGTGTTAAGAATAATGTTTTTCATAGCTGGCTAGATAGTGATGAAGATGATGAGGAACGTCTTTCTGTAGTTGATGGGAAAAATGATATTAAAAATGATAATGACGACAAGGTTTTCTTTCATTATAGGGCAGCACCCCGTCCCTCGACGAATGTTTAGGCGAAAACGTTGACCCTAACCCCTAAGGTTCTACCACGACAAACCCCGATTCCCGACGCCCACGCCTGTGCGAGCAAAACCCGACAATCCCGCCCCGAAGGCTCGGGAAGCCTATCCTAATTTAAACAGTTGTACTTGGATGAAGTTCAGCTCCGAGTGGTGGTGAACTAGCACTCGAGCTACCGGCTAAACTAAATTAATCAAAACTTTCTGATAAATTAAGTGATTAATGGGGAAAGAAATAAGGGTTAATATTTTTTGGTTTGGGGGAAGATTGAACCGATTAAGCTATTTTTCCTTTCCTTTTTAATTCTCGAAGGAGACGTGTCTGACTTAAATATGTAAAAAATTATTTCTTCAGTTCAAAGACGAAAATGGCGATCTTGAATTAAAATTAAATACATCGGGAAATAGTGAAGATGACAAAAATAAAGTTAATGGAAAAATTGTTGAGAATGGGGAAGTTGATGGTAAGGGATCTGTTCGGAAGGATAATAAGAAGGATTCTCCTCCACCTCCGACTGATCCTGAAGAAAATGGAGATGATAATTCAAAGTATTTTTTAAAATTAATTGGAAAGGAAGAAATTTTAAGGACCATTTTACAAGGGCGTAGCTAGGAGGCTGAAGCCTCCCTCCCCTTCCGAATGGGAGAAAGGGGGGAGAATTGGGACAATTTCCGCCTACAACCTCCGAAATTCAAGGAATTTTCGTCTGCGGCGCTGAATTTGCGTCCAAACATCAAAAGTTGGGCGCACACACCATGTTAGCCCCCGCTGAAATAGACCCCTGACTACGCTCTTGCCATCTTGTAAGAAATTAAGAGAATATCTTTCTCTCCTAGAGTTGTCGGTTCTGGGGAAAATCTTTGGATATCCAGAACCAAATCAAAAGTCGAACGGTCGGTTCTTTGGTTCGATTCTAAACCCTTCAAGTTTCAAAGTAACAAATTTTAGATGGCCACGAGGTTTCCGAATATTTCGAAAAATTCGATTCTCTAAGGATGTTTATTTTCAAATTGATTTTTATTTTGAGACTTGCTTGGTTAAATTTTCCTAAAAAATTTCTTTGAAAAAAAATTAATTTTTTAGAGCAAAAGCTGCAATTACAGCATCGCTCCGTCGTCGTTCAACAACTGTTGAGGTTTTCTTTTCTTTAACATTTTTAAAATTAAAAAAAAATTTTTTAAAGAAAACGGAAGTTAAAAATTCTGTCAGCAACAATATTTCCACTAAAGAAGTGTCAAATGCTAAGCAAAAGAAGAATAAAAATGAACGGGAAGTTGATGTTGATAAGGAAAAAGGAGGTTTTTTTGTGAAAATTTTCTTTTTAAATTAAAAAAAATTTTTGAAGAAAAGCCATCTTCAGAATTTCGTATTGACGTTATGTTTCGTGATAATGTTGGGAAGCTTAAATTGGTGGCTAATTTAGGAATGACGTCTGAATGTCAAATTACTATTAATGGTTTTTTTATAATTTATAAAGTTTTTGGGGAGCATTTCTGGGTCAATTTCCTCTTTCTCGTTAGCTTTGCCAAAAATTTAGACAGAAAAAGTATACAAAAAATGACAAATTATTTATGTGAATTTTCGTGCTGGAGTTTAGAGATCGAAATTTTTGAAAAGTCTGGGCCTGTTCCTGGACTTTGGGCTGATTTATTGTCCTGCGCCGGATCCTGGGCCTGTAGTACAGGAAAAACCCAGGCACAAGTAAAACCCAGGAAGGTCAAAAAATGCCTGGGCCTGGACTCTGGGTACTGGAAAACCCTAGGCCTTTGTCCAGGCCCAGCTCGATCTCTATTGGAGTTATTTCTTGTTAAGAGGGCAATTGATTAAAGTACTTAAAACTTGTATAAATCAAAGCTTTAGCCGGGTCGTCGAATGATGCCAGTTTTAGCAAAAGTGGGGTTATTATTATACCGCCGATAACACGGTCTGCCCTGTCACTAGTCCTTACTAGGGATGGGACGGGTTGAGAAAAAAGTCGGGGCGGGTTTCGGGTCCTGATCCTTACATAACGGAGAGTATTTAGAGAATCTTTCCTTCATTTCTTAAAATCTTTTCAACTTTTTTTTAAATTTAATTAAAAAAAATTTTCATTTTTTTTCTAGCACAACTTGAAAAGGAATTGGCAATGTTTCTTAAAACAAAAATTAAACCTGGAGGACCTAGGAAGAATAAAAATATTGTTAGTGATGATGATTCTGATGGTTAAAGAGAGATCAAAAATATTTAAAAAAGATGATATTGATATGTTCTGTGTGTGTAAGAAAATGTAAAAAAATAAAATGATTGGAATTTAAAAAAAGGTTTTTTTATTATTTTTATTTTTACTGCTTAAAAAATTAGAGAGAAAGGGGAGAGATTGAAATTTTTAAATTAATTAATTTTTCGATTCTTTGAGAGGAAAGGAGGGAGGGTAAATCATTTTTAGAACATTCAAAAAATAATTCTTTTGAAAATTAATTTTTATTGTAGGAACCAGACTTGGTAATGGGCTTCTGTAAACACGAGGGTTGTTTATTGGTATCCGTATCCGGATATTTACGGCGGATACAGGCGGAGCCTCTTTTCTAAAAATTTTTTTATCTCTTTAAACCAATTATCCACAAATTTTTTTTATTAATTCAATCTCTCTCTTTAACTCAAAAAAATGATGACCCCGTTTCTTAATCAATACTCTCAAAATTATTATTATATTTAATTCAAGATGGGTTCTATAAACACGATGAGGTTGTTTATTATGCGGGTTTATTAAGAGACTTGGAGACTGTATTGACTCTAATATTTTATTGGAATTTTTTTTTCGGTATTGGGGTGCAGTTTTGAGACTTGGAAAACTTTCCTTACAGGAGGAAATCCTTCAAACTGAAAGGCAAAACTTTTGTATTTTTTGGTACCAATCGATATAGCATTACCGATTTACTCAAAAAAAATTTTCGACTTTTTTTGGCTATGGATATGAAACTAAAAAAATTTTAGAAAATAGGACAAGTCATATAGCTATTTAATTCCTAAGGCTTTTCAGTAGGCGCATTAGTCCTGTCTACTGAAGATGCCAAATAACCTTTTGCATAGCTTAAGAAGGGAAATAGCTATAGCCCAGCTGCTTTTCTATTTTTTATTTTAAAACCCCACGTGGATATAGTGTCCATCTATCTACATATATTTTTTTGAATTGATACAAGTAAGCACAAAAATGTTTTGTTTTACCTATTATTTATTTTTTATATTATTTTTTCATATAAGTACAATTATTTTCAAGGCACTTTCTTGAGCATTTTTATGTGAATTCAAAAAAAATTTGTTTTTTTGTTCGTTTCTCATAATCGGGATATGATTTTTCTTGAATAAAAATAAAAGAAAATGAGAGACCAATCTAATATGCTAGAAATTGTATATAGGTTTTTAAAATTCAGGGTTTCGATATGTGCGGATTTTTCCTCATTTCATAGGATTTTGATAGGCCGATGAGGATTATTTTTAAATGGGAACTATATATGGTTGGAATATTTTTTCCGGCGCGATCTCTGACCTCAATGTTAAGGATTTTTGTTGTGTAAGAATTATTTCGAGTGGCTTTGATCGGCTATAATTTTTTTATGCTTGATATGATCCGAATGAATCTTATATCCTTCGAAAGCCCCGATATTGCCGCGCGCTGTTTTGGGCGCGCTGCACCCCCAGATTTTACAACCATAAAATCAAAAAAAGAATTAAAGTTTTATCTGGCTCATTTAATTATCACGTGTAATTTTAAATTAATATTTAGTTAAATTGTTAAAAGTTAAAAAATAAATAAATAGAAGCAAAATTATAATCACAAAATTTTCAATAAGATTCTTCAAGAATTTTATGCTTAGAAACGTTATACATATTTAAAAGGTTTTGATTCCAAATTATTACCAAAATTCGTGTCAGTAGTACAGTTTGCAAGTTTAACAAATGCTGTATATTCAGCTGCATTATCCTTTATTAATATGCCTCTACCTTTAAAAATAAATTAAAAAGTAATTTTGAAACTTATGTAGTTTACCCCCCCATAGGTCCCGCCCCTTTTCTTCCTTTTGTTACTTGGCAGATCTCTGTTTTGGGTTTTTTTAGCTACGGCTTCGACCTTTTTCAACCCTTGGCTCCGAGCTCCGGGTAGAAAATCAATATTATTTTTTTATTGGGGATTTGGGTAGATAAAGGGATATTCGAAAAATTTTGAAAATTTTGATCTGCTGATAATTTTGATAATTTTGGAAACCAAAGCTTATGGGGCGTAATATACACAGCACTTTAATTAATAAATTAAATATTTACCAATTATTTTTCCATTTTGGGTAAAAAAGCATAAGGGAATTCGTCTATTTTGTTGTTGGGCTATTTTTTGCCTCAAATCTTTACCATTTATTGCCTCAAATGTTGCGCATTTGTTTTTGCTAGGATTTTCTAGACTAATAGATAGAAAAGGCGCATCCATTTTAATTCCATTTTAAGATTTTTGTTCTCCATTTCCAACTCAAAATTTTTATTATCTTCCTCATTTAATCTGCCTTGAAGCTTGAGAATTTTTTGTTGAAGCTGAACAACAATATCGTCGCTTTCTTCGTCCAATTTCTTTAATTTTTTTAAATTTTTTTTTAATTTTTTTTCCAAATTTACATTCAAGTCTAGCATTACATTTAAGGAATTTCCAGCCATTTTATAGAGAAATTTTAGTTTAAAAAATTAATTTAAAAAAACAAAACAAAAAATACAAAAATACAAAAAATACAAAACTCAGACGGCTAAAAATATTTTTAATTGATTTTTAATTTGTTTTTTACCAAATAATCCTCTATTAATTAACTTTGAAATAGGTACAGAGTTTGTTTATTTAGCAAAATTTTATATTTCGCGAAACTTCCTACAATCAAAAACGAGCAAAAAATTTTCAAAATTTAGGTAATCCATACTTTTCTGGTATAAATTCATTTAACGAATTAATTCTCCCTTCAAAAAGATTTTCATCATCTTCTTTTCTTATTTTATTTTCCAACTCTTCCAATTCCCCAGGAATATAAAATTGTTTTTGAGGAACCCAACAGACTCGGCAACCTGCAGATAATGCCGAATAAACTCCATTAAGGCTGTCTTCTAGAACTAAAATGTTGTTATTTTTGTTCTGTTGGTGGAGGGGCATTCGACGAATTGTTACCTTTATTAAAAATAAAATATTGAATTTTGGCGTTTTGTAATTTTTTAGTTTTTGGGTATACTGTAATTTTTGTTTTTAATATTTTGATGTTTTACTGTTTATTTATATACAAATGAAATTTGTCTTCTTTCGGTTACGACCATACCGCGTTGAAAGCACGCCATCCCGTCCGATCTGGCAAGTTAAGCAACGCTGGGCCTCCTTAGTACTTGGAACGGAGACGTCCTGGGAATCGGTGGTGTCGTAACCTTTTTTAATGATAAACAAAGATTTTTGCCCAATTTTAGTTTCTTTGAAATACCCATATAATCAACATACAAAAAATCAACACGAACCAAATAAGGGTCTGGCGCAGGTTTTCCTTCATTAACCTCAGGATCGTCCCCAGCCAAAACTATTGGACTCATTTTTTCAATTAATTCTTTAGCTTTCCCAATCTTTTTTGGAAATTCTTTACTTGAAGAACCGGTACATAAAGCTATTTGGATTTTATGTTGGTGTAAATGTGTTATCAATTTTTGGGCTCCAAAAAGTAATGGCCATCCAGCTCCTTTTGTAGATTCTAATTCTTCGTAGTAAAATTTCTTATAAACTTTTAGATAATCCTGTAAATATAGGCAAATTTAATGCAGTTTTGACATTTAGAGAATTTTTTGAGGGTTGGACATTTTGAAATTTTTGGGGGGTATTGTAGAAAAGAGGGCCATGATTATGGGGGCAACTACACAAGCACCGTTTTAGAGAGTAACATTTGAAAATTTTGGGGGTATTGACATTTTGAAAATTCTGAGGGTTCTGACCTTTTGAAAAAAACTTTGGCAGTTGTGTAGAAAAAGGGGCGGGGTTTATGGGGAGGGCAACTACACAAATACCGAAAATTTTTTGAGTTGACATTTTGAAAATTTAGGGTGGAGGAGGGAAGATTGCCATTCTGGAAAATTCTGGGGGTATTGACATTTTTAATATTCCCCCTCCATTTTTAAAAGCTTTCCAATTACCTCAGGTTTCACTCCCCTTTCCGCCAGCCTCGTAGCTTCTAACAAATAATCAACGCCTTCATGCAATTTTCTCCCCATCTGTCCACGTTTTAATTCCAAAGAATAATTAATACCAAAATGTGTTAACGTGTTTTCATTAATTCTGTAGTAAACAGTTTCACTATCAATTATAACTCCATCAAGATCGAATATAATTGATTGCACTGGTTTGAGGGAGAAAAAACGCTTTAAAAATTAAAAATTTTCTTTTAAAAAATTTTTTAAAATGTTGAAAAAATTTTTTTTAATTTTAAAAATTTTTTTAAAATTTTTTGAAAAGTTTTTTAAAATTCATTTTTCCTGAAAACACCAAAGGAAAAATTGTTTTCCCTCAGAAGGGATTGAACCCCGCCCCTATCGGATAATTTATCACTGTGTAACCTAACGCTCTCACCACTATACCACGCAACACTTGAAGTCTTTTCCTTATTATAAGGTGATAGATTTAAATAAAAACTAGTAAAATTAGCTATTGAAAGCTTAACATTCCAATTTTCCTTAAAATTTTTTAGACATTAAGAAGAATATGATTTTGGGAAAAAATTTTTTTTAGTCATTTTTAAATTAAAAATTAAACAAAACCCACTTTATTTGTTAAAAATCCATCAAAATGTGTTATTTTCTTTAATAAATTATTAATTAATAAATTCATTTTTTAAAATTAAAAATCTAAAAAGAAACACTTAATTAAAATTTTTAAATTAAAAAATATATATTTTATATATGTGTTTTTAAATAATTTTAAAAAATTAAAAATAATTTTTAAAATGCCTCTTTTTATTCTCAAAAAAATTTTTAATTTCAAATAAATTAATTTATTATTTATTTTGTCTCCTTTCATATTTATTTTTTAATTTTTTAATCAGCAGCCAAAGCAACCGCTTCCACCTTTCTTTTTTGCTTCTTTTGAGGTACCTCTTCTTTTTCTTAAAAATATTTGAAGTTATTTTTTTACAAATATTTTTTTTAATTTTTAAAAATACCCTTCCAACCTAACCAGAAAAAAGTTTAAAAATAACACAAAAGTCTCTCGACTTTTGGAGGAAAAGAAGAAAAATTCTTTTTGAAAAGGGGAAAATTTTGGACAGGAAAATTCCAAAGGAGCCTCTGCCTCTCCACCAAGGTTGAAGGCCCGGTCCGATCCGAAAGATAGAGTTGGGCATCGAATTTTGGCCCGAAAAAGACTTGGTTGGACCAGCCCGATAAAATGACTAGAACGTCTCCACCAAATTAATTCTTATTTCCTTAAAAATTCTCAAAAACCTTATAAAATCCCTCAAAATAAAATTAAAAAAAAAATTAAAAACCTTTTTTTCTCCTTTCAGTTTCCTCTTCATCCCCTCCAATTTCTTCATTAACTACTTTAGGCAATTGGCTAGCTATTAATTGTTCATATTCTTCCTCTACTGCCTGTTCATCTTCTTCACTCAATTTATTACGCAAAAGGGATGCAAGTTCCTTTGAAAAAATTTTTTTTTGAAATAAAATTAATTTAAAAAATTAAAATTTAATTAATTTTATACTTTTTAAAAAAGAAAGAAGCTTAAAGGACTCGAACCTTTGACTAATAAAACAAAAAAGTTAGCACTAACCCACTCAACCACAGAAAACATTGAAAAATTAAAAAAAAATTTTAGGGCTTCTCAAAAAAATTAGGAGAATTCGAACATTTAAGAGCCAGAATTTTGTTGAGTTGAGCCCAGATTGAGTTGAGAAATTAAAAAAAAATTGAGCTGCAACACGATATTCCGTGCTAAAATACCGGCAATCCCGGAGAAATGGGGTATTTTCGAAAAAAAATTTTAACCGTGATACCGAGAAATTTTTATCAGTTGTGGGAAAAATTAAAAAAATTCTATCGGAATTGCTCTTTATTACAACGTCCCAAATTCCCGATAACATAACAAAATTTAGACCGAAATTAAAATTTTTAAGTTAAAAAAATATTTTTTAAAAACCTCTTGGAATGCTTCAGCTTCTTTACTTTCTTCAATAATCCTTTCAACTTCTTCAATTGAAATTGACTAAAAAATTAATTTAAAAAATTAAAAGAAGCTAAAAAAATTATTTTAGTTAATTTTGATGTAAAAATATTTTTGGTATTTGTCCGCAAATTTTTATTGAATTTGCGGACAAAAAATATTTTTGCGGACGATCATTTTGTGGAAGAATAAAATCAGCAAATTCATTTCTTATAAAAAAATTAACAAAAAAAGACAAGTAAAATCTACAAAACCATTGATAAAAATTCGTCCGCAAAATTTTTTGTCCGCGAAAAATTTTTGTCCGCAAATATTTTGCGGACAAGTTTTGCGGATTTTTCCAAAAACAAAATTTAATAAATTTTTACTTTTTCTTGAGATTATCCACTTTCTATTAAAACATTTATTTAAAAAATTTAAAAAAAACCTCATTAATTTTTTTCAATGCCTCATTTCCTTCCCTCAAACTTTCAGTCACCTCAACATTTAATTGAGCCATTTCTAAAGAATTTATCATTTGGTTAATTTTGTCCAAATATCCCAAAACTGTATTTACTGTTGTTTCTTCATAACGTTTTCTTTTTAAAAGAAGTAGTGCTTGGCTTGAAAAAAAATAAATTAAAAAAAAATTTTTTTGGTCATTGGGACATTTTGTCCCACCGGCATTCTAATGGGACGAAATGTCCTATTGACCAAAAAAAAATTAAATTTTTAAATAAAATTAATAAGATTCTAAACTTGTGTAAAATTAAATTTTAAGACATTTCCCTTAAAATTAAAAAAAAATTTTTTAATTTTTGGTCAATAGGACATTTTGTCCCTTTTGGACATTTTGTCCCAATGACCATAAATTAAATTTTTTTATAAAAATTAAAAAGACGATGGACCGATTCTAAACCTGTGTAAAATTAAGTTTTAAGACATTTCCCTTAGAAATAAAATTTTTTTTTTCAAAATAGGCATTTTTAAATTTTTGGTCAGTGGAGGACAAAATGTCCCACTGACCAAAAAAATTAATTTATAAAAATTAATTAATATTAATTTTTTAGATTTGCTAAAATAATTTATTCTTCTCTATTAATGCAATTAAAACAACAAAATAAAAAATTGCCTACTGAATTACTTGTTGATATATTTAAAGCTACATATGGAGCAATAATGGACAGGTTACCCCAACAACTTTATCAAAGATCGACAATGTTAGAACACAAAGAATATGGAAAGTCGTTTATATTCTATGTCAATAATTTGTTAATTTCTTCGTCTATTGTCTACATTTTTGTTGAAAAATTTTTAAAAAGAAGATGGCTATCAATTCTCGAAGAAAGAAAAATTGTTAAAATGTGGGAGAAAATGACGAAAGTGTGCGAAACCGAACTTGAAAAACAACAAGAATACGAAAGAGAACATGAAAGAATAAATAAGGAAATTGTCAAACTTGAAGAACGTAGAAGATTAATTGAAGAGAAAATTAATGAAGAACGTGAAAAATTAGAAAAATTTGATGCAAACAGAAAATGAAATTAAGAAAATAACTTTTATAGCAATTTTTTGTGTGATCGGGTCGGTTGCACTACATTTATGTCTTTATTTATTGTTTCAAAAAAAAATTTTTTTTTAACTTTAAAGAAATAAAAAAATTGTTGAAATTTTACACATCAACTGAGTTCCAGACCCTATAACTCATAAAGAAGTGGTCATTTCTTTATGTTTTTGGTACCATTGGATAGAGCATTTAATAGGCTAGAAAATCCCAAAAAATCAAAATTCTTGACTTACTGATAAAAAAGTTGTGATCGATAAAGTACCGAAAAATCGGAATTTTTTTGAAAAAGTTAGGTTTTAGATCATAACTTTTTTTTATCAATTAATTGAGAATTTTGATTTTTCGGTATGTTGTAGCCCATTTAATTCTCTATCCAATAGTACCAATAACATTAAGAAGTATCCACCCCTTCTTAACTTATAGGGCCGGGATTCAATCGAACTGCTCCGGAAATTTTTGACAACGTGGACAAAATGTCATGCCACCAAAAAAATCGAAGAGAATTTCCGTCTTTTGTTACTTAATCCCATCAAATCCTTCCTAATCCGTTCAAAGCTACCGTTATCACCGCCTAATCCCCACAAATGTTTCCTAATTCGCCCAAATCCTTCTTTATACGCCCAAATATTTAGAAGTGATTTCCAGAGCTGTTGACTTCCAGGGAATTGACCTCCTAGGTGAATACCCAAAAAAAACTCGACGGTCCGTCCCACTAAAAACTTTTTTCTCATAATTTTGTCCTTAAATCTTTCCCCAAAACCTACTCACAAATTTAAAAACTCCAAAAAATTTTTTAATTAAAAGAGAACCTTTTCCTCCCTTCCTTCAAGTGTATTCTTGCCCTTTCCTTGTCCCTTTCAATATTTGCCTCACATCTTTTACAGACTTGTTTTAATCGATCACGAGACATTTTTGCTGTCTAAAAAAGGAAAAAATTAATAAAAAAATTTTTAAAAAATTTAAAAAAACCAAAATAGCTTTGTCCTGTTCACTAACTAAGGCTGCTCTTCTCTTTTTGTCACTGCTAAAAATTGAGCCCATATTCTTTATAAACAATAAATTAATTTGGATAATTAAATAAATTAAGTAGCTAAAATTCAAAAAATTTTAAAAAGAAAAAACAATTTGTGAAATTTTGCGGACAAAATTTTTTGCGGACAAAATTTGCGGACTTTAAAAAAAGCGGACATTTTTACAATTTTGCGGACATATTTAAGATTTGCGGATAAAAAATTTGCGGACATTTTTTGCGGAAACTTTTAATAAATTTGCGGACAATTTAAATATTTGCGGACACCTGAAAATTGCGGACAATTTTTAAAAAATTTGCGGACACTGAAAATTTGCGGACAATTCAAAATTTTGCGGACATTATTTACGGACACATTGAAAATTGCGCTTTTCTGCAAAAAATAAAATATAGGTAAATTTAAAAATAAAATTGAATTCAAACAATTTTCTAATTTAATAAAAGAACACAAAAATATAAATATTTTTATAAGCATCTTGAAATAAAAATTTAACGTGAAAGACAAGAAACAGGTAAAATATAAGTATTTTTTGAAGCATATAATGAGGGTAGTCGTTTATATAAATACAGAAAAAATTTCTAGAATTTTTTAAATTTAATCAAAATTAATTGGTAAAAATATTTTTTTAATTAAAAAAATTTTTAGAAGAAAAAATTTTTGTCCGCAAAATAAATTTTTTTGCGGACAAAATTTGCGGACAATTTAAAAAATGCGCAAAATATTTCTAGATTGAACAAAAACTTTTTTAGACAAAAAATTAATTAAAAAAATATTCCCCTAATATAATATATAATGAACCGTTATAAATTAGAAAAAAGAATCCAAGAAGGCTAACAAATAAATCAAAAAAAATTTTACAAAAAATGGGACACGCCCAAATAGGCGCGCGCCCATAATGGCGCAAAGCCATAACTAGCTTCAAAATTTCCGAATCTTAATAAATTTAGTATCAAACGATTCCTCTCATCGAGCTAAAGAGATTGATACCAAAATTGACAAGGGCCAGAAATTTTCCAGCAAGTTGTGGCTTTGCGCCGTTATGGCCGCGCGCCGTTTTGGACTCTAACCAAAATATTTATTGTATATGTTATGTAAACCAATTTTCTAGTTTAACCATTACTAATTTAAAAAAAACCTTTATATTTAACCTCTTTTCCTTATTTTGAACCAAATTCCTCCATCCAATTTAAATATTTTTGAACTGTACTCTGAGTAACTGAAGGCTTCATTTTTTGGATTGCTGTCTCAAAATGGCACATTCGAATAGTTAAATCAGGTTTTGAAAGAATTTTCTTTCGAGCTTCTTTGCGTTCTTCAAAATCGGCATTTACTAAATTGTTTGTTGAGCGAAGACAATCACGCATTGGGGCTAAGGCTGCATCTCTAGAACGAAAAAATGAAATTTTTTACAGTGGGGGTAAGAGCAGAATTTTAAGGTTTAGGCTGAAGTCAATCGGTAGTGCGAAACTTGCGGACCGACTTTTGCAGACCAAAGGTTTATGTTTTTGTTTTTCTATCGTAACTTTGTCCAAGCTTATACAATCACGATGATTTTGATGTCATTCGACTCAGCTCGTCGAGCTCTTTCGAATGAGCTATGTTTTGAGAATTTCGTCGGTTCCGCACGTTTCGGCCTGCCAGTCAATCAACATTTTTTAATCTCCGACCTTAAAAGCTCGGACTTATTTCGAATTGAAACTTAATCTCCCCCTAGTTGAGAGTAAAATTTTCTTTCACTAATAAAAAGCTTTATTGTTAAAAATAATTCACAAAAATAATAAACAACCACATCCTTTTAAATTTAGAAGGGGTCTAACTAAAGGTCGGTAAAATCACATTTACAGAATCCTGTAACAGGACTGTGTTTTAAAATTTGGACAAGGACAGGATCCTTCAGGATTAATCCTAAAAACTGAAAAAGGGCAGGATTTCGAACAGGATCCTGAAAAATCCTGCGCAGGATCCTGTCATGCGCCCTCTAGTTCTAACCATAAAACTCCTCTCTTTTTTATTTTTTAAAATTCCCGGATTATGCTAGGCTTTTACCCTTACCCACCAGAGATGTCAGAGGTTATCCAAATTTTGAAAACTCGATTCGAAACCCTTCGAAAAACCCCTTTTAAATTTTAATAAAAACCTGCAAATATTTGTAATATCAGCACCAGAATAACCTTCCAAACGTTCAGCAACTTCACTCAATTTAACATCATCATCCAATTCAATCCCTGTCAAAGCATTTTCTATCAAATTTAATCGAGCAGCACAATCAGGGAGAGGAATATAAATTCTTTTTTCAAGTCGTCGTCGAAGAGAGTCATCCACGTCCCAAGGAAAGTTTGTTGCACCGAGAACGAGGACTTTAAAAAATTAAAAAAATATATCAGACATAAACAGGTTAAGGACGTACAAGGAGGGCTGGGAGACTGGACCCACCTCTCCTTTAAAATGAGGGAAAAGGGAATTTTAGAAAAAGAATTTATGGTCGAAAAAATGAAATTTCTCGACCTTCAAAAATTCCCAAAACTTTCGCCTCGGTGAAAAAAATATAAAAAGATGGCACGCGGACATATCGGGTAATATACGAATTTTTGAAAATTCCAATGTACGAACAGTTACCCTACTGATTTCGGGCCCTACGGCAATTGGGTCTTGGATAGTATATTGTCCTATTAAAGAATTGAGTTTTTATGTTCTAGAACAAATGTAAACACTCAAAAAATTATTTTTGTCACCCCAATCCCGATATGTCCGCACACCAAAAAGATAGGTTGGATAGGAGTTGACTTTTATAACCCCGACCTTCTTAATCACCCCTATCTAAAAATTCGAAAAACCTGTCTTTCCTTCATCAGCAACACACCCATCCATCTGAATTAATAATTCAGACTTTGCACGTCTAGAAGCTTCGTGTTCACTATCAGTGCCGCGCTTGGAACCAATACTGTCTATTTCATCAATAAAAATAGTTGAAGGGGCGCGTTGACGGGCCTTTAAAATTTTTTTAGAAAATTTTGGAAATTATTTAAAAAAATTCAAATCGAATCTTAGGTAAAGCGGATAAACTCATCCTAGAAAAAAATATGAAATTGGAAAGGACTTGGTTTTAAGAGTTTTCGATTTTCTTCAAAGGTTCAATTTAAAACAAGGTTATTAAGCACTCAACTATTTAGGGGAAAAATCAACCACCTTCTCCCTACAATGAGGTGGTATGTATATCCTAAATAAGACAGCTTCTTTTCCCTTTCAATAACAGGATTGAAGGTTTTAAACTGAATAGAAAAATAGAAAATTTTCGGCTCTGTTCGGTTAACAGAAGAATTTTGGCTAAACCAAAAAACTATTCAGTAATCAACCAAATCTAAAAAACATAGATTAAATTGAGTACTTAATGGAGTATCTAAATGTCGAGATTTAACTTCCAAAAAATATTTTTCAGAAGGGAAAATAGAACCCAAGAATCCCAAAAATAAAAAAAATAATTTAAAAAATACCAACAATTTCAAAAAGAAGTCTGACCAATTTTTCAGATTCCCCTCTATATTTTGAAGTTAGAGTAGCCGAAGAAACGTTAAAGAAAGTTGTGCTGCATTCATTAGCTAGTGCTTTAGCCAAAAGTGTTTTGCCCGTTCCAGGAGGTCCAAACATACAAATTCCTCGCCAGGGACGGCGAATGCCGCGGAAGAGTTCCTAAACAGAAATTTTTTAAAAATTTCCAAAAATTTCAAAAATTTACTGGATGCTCCATTGGAAGAATACAAGTCTCAATTAACAACATTTTAGCCTCTTCTAATCCAGAAATGTCATCCCAACGGATTGATGGATTTTGTTGAAGAATTCCAGTATGTATAAGTGAAACCAAATCTGGGTCATAACCGGGTATGTGGAAGGATTCGATTGCGTCCGGGGAAAACACTGGAAAAAAAAGATTTTTTTTAAAAATAAAAATTTTTTTTTGGAATTTTAAAATTCTTCTCATCATTAAAAAAAGAAAACGACTCTCAAAATTAATTTAAAGAAACCCAACTAAGGGGAAAGACAAAGAAATAATTTGACTCGAACCTTCAAAGGCTACCCAGTAGAGATGTGCGAGACCGAAATTTTTCCAAGACTCAAGACCCAAGACAAAATTTTTTCCAAGACCAAGACACAAGACCAAGACCAAAACTCCAAGACTCAAGACCAAAAATCAAGACCAAATTTTTAAATCCCATAGGTCAAATTTTTGGTTTATTTTTTGTTATTTTGATACGATCACAGTCAACTTCAGCACAATTATCTATAATTTCGAAAAATTTATGCGAAATTCAAAGAATTTCGGGGAATTTATTCTGGAAAATCAATAAAATAGGTTATTATTTCAGAGGGTTTGGGTGGATTAACGGGATATTAGTGATATCAAAAGATTAAGAGGGATAGCCGTGGGATTTAACGCCGCAGGCGAAAATTTTGAGGATTATGAAAGCAAAGAAGCCAAAAATCTTCCTTTTCCTGCGCCGCAGGCAAAAATTTTGAAAATTTTGGAAGGCCGTAGGCCAAAAAATTCACATTTTCAGCGCCGCAGGCAAAAATTTTTTGAATTTTGGAGCTCAAGAAGCCAGATTTCTTCCATTTTCTGCACCGCAGGCGAAAATTTTGAGGACCTTTGGATGGCCAAGCACTAGGTCCAAAAAGGCCAAAAAAACCAAGACCAAAAAATAAAACCAAGACAAGACCAAGACAAACACCCCAAGACCAAAAAATAAAACCAAGACAAGACCAAGACAAACACCAAGACTTTTCTTGGTTCCAAGACCAAGACCAAGAGTCTCGCACATCTCTACTACCCAGACAGACTAAAACCCTAACCATTAAACCACACAGCAATTATAAATTAAAAAAATTTTTTTTTGGAATTTTAGAAGAGAAAGAACTCAAGATTTTCATAATTATAAAGAAAATAACACCCAAAACCATTTGAAAATTTTCTAAAAATATTGACAAGATACTTGAGCCTATCCTTGAAAGGATTCGAACCTTCAATATTACCTCGTATAAATTAGCTGCCTAACAAGTAAAAACAAATTAAAGGGTTAAATTAAACGACTAAAATTATTTTTTAAATTTAAAAACCCATGAGATCTTACCATAATAAATTCAAAAAAATTTTTTTAAAACATATACAAAACATTCTAGCCTATGAGGAAAGGCAAAGAAAAAATATATTCCACGAGAGGATTCGAACCTTAACCTTTTGCCCTTCACAGACCAAAACCCTAACCATTCCGCCAAACACTAATTTACTCAAACTTTTAATTAATCACCTAAATACAAAATTAAAAAAAACCTGATCCTTCCATATTATTGCTAGTTGAAACAGTCTCATCAGTTGGAGGTGATACGACAGAAACAGGCTTATTTTCCTTCTTTTCCTGTTTTTTGCCATTAAATTGAGAAGTAGAAAGGGAGGACGTCTTATTTTCATTTTTCTCATTTTTTGAAGTAGTCCTCGACCTTCCAACAGGTTTGTTAAGGTTAAAAGAGGAAGCACCTATTTTGGATTGAGTCATGCTTTGTTGTAGAGGACGTCCATTGGCAACAAAAGCTGTGGATTTTCGAAAAGACCTCGAAGTTGTAACCGAAGATGTTGGTGTGTGTTGAACTAAAAATGATTTTTTATTTGTAAAAATGGATTTTGAGGAAAAATTTGAGGAAAAATTCTTTTTAATGATAAACATGAGATGATGTTTGTGGGTCCTGAAAATCCATAGGTGTCCAAAATCAATATCCGAAACGAGACTTGTGGATATTAGGACTTTTTTGAACCCAAATCCGTCAACATTAATTGGACTTACGGACTAGAGATGGGGCTGAGTCTGGACCAAAGCCTAGGTTTTTCCTGTACACAGAGCCAAGGCCTAGGCATTTTTCCCCTTCCTAAGTTTTTCCTGACCCTGGATTTTTCCTAGGGCCCAGGATCCAGCCAGGTCAATAAATCAAACGCAGAACCCAGGAACAAGCCCAGCCTTTTCAAAAATTTCGATATTTAGTACAAACTAAAGAATTTTCAAAATTAATTGTAAGCTTCTTAGAATCGTTTTCCGATTTAGGACAGCACAATAGAACCCAAAATGAAATTAAAATAATAAACCAGATTGGGGTCAACAAAGGAGGCAAAAATTTGTGTTTAATTAAAAAATTTAAAAGAAAACCTGAAAGTCTCTGAGAACGAGAACTACCCGCTGGTGGATCAGCAGGTGGGGACTCAGAGTCAGTCGAACAATTATCAAAAGCAGCTTGAGCTAATTGATCCAAAGCAGGGATTAATTCGTGTTGAAGTAAATGGAGTTCTTCTTGAAGAGTGTTCAAACACTTGAAAAATCAATTTTAGTTTTTCAGACTTATTAAATTAAATAATTCCTATTAGAAGGAAAATTGAAGTTTTCTGAGGAAACTTTCCCTAGAAGATCCAAATCTTCAAAAATCCAGTTCCCCAAAAATTTAAAATACCGGGAAAAAAGTATGGGCAGAAGTAGAGAGCGGGATTTAAAAAAAGTACAGGTATGGACCACTGCTCCACTCAATCGACCCTTCCCAGGTTCTGAGCCTCTAGTCGAGTCGAAAAATCCAGGAAAACATCCGAACCTGGATACTGGGACATATTATAGATATAATAGTCAGCTCAATTAGGGTTGGATTTCTCAAACCGGGCCGAGATTCGAGTCACTTTTTCGGGCCTCATTTTTATCAAACCGGCTCGTTCAAGTCTTTTTCGGGTCAAGATTCGATCGAACCGGGCCCCCAACCCTAATCTCAATGAAAACATCAAAAGTCTGAGGACAAACTTGTCTACCTAAAAATCTACCAGTAGACATTCTTACCTATCAAAACCCTCACAATCTCCCCAAAATCAACTCAGAATTTAAACAAAAACCTTAACAAGCCGATTCCGTTTAGTATTATCATTATAAGTCTGTTTAATCTGAACGCCAATTAAACGTATTGCCTCCTCATAATTAGTTATTGCCTCATTGTATTGCCCAATATTTGTTTTGCTACGTGCCAATTTTGCATTTTTAATGAATGGATACATTCTCTAAAAAATTTTTTTTTTGGATTTTGAGAAAAAATGAGAAACAAATAGAAAAAATAATTTTTTTGATAAAAACAAATTAAAAATTTTACAAAAAAATAAAAAAATTTTTAGCGTTGCAACAAAAAAAAATTTCTTTAAACAAATAAATATTTAATTTTTCCAAATTGACATTCTTCAAATGAAAAATTCATTTAGCCAAAATGTTTAAACATTCTCACAAAGTCTCGTGGAGTCACATTTTTGGAAGGAAAAAGGGAGGAAATCGATAATCAGAATAAGATGTCGATATACTGGTAAAATTGGTAAAATAATCTGGTTTATATGCAGGAGAAAAGGGGCGGGAAAGGGTAAAGTTAATGTAAGAGAAATAGTAATTGACGGTTTATTTAAATTTCTGACCTTAGTTAGAAAAGGATTTTTGAGTATAATGAAAGGCAAATTGCCTGTGAAAATTTATTCAAACATAATATATGTAAATTAACTGATAGCCATGAGTAGTGAGTGACCAGGAGAAGTCGGGGTCGGGGGGAGGGGTCCGCTGAAACCAAAGGGTGTAGGGGGGTTGCGGCTAATTTTCTTTGATTTTGCCGACAATATCCTATGGGTGTAGGGGGGTTTTCGGGGGATTTCCTTTGATAATTAGGCTGACTAATTGACCAATTAACACCTATTGAACAAATCCCTTTGAACTTGCCGATACATCGAAGTCGTGGGGTAGGGGTTAATTGACCAATTAGTACCTACTAATTGGTTTTCACTGCATCTAACCGTCAAATCGTAGTCGAGGGGTAAGGGGTAAATCAATTAGTAAATAATTAATTACTTTTGAGGTTAAGGGGGATAACCGACTAAATGAAGAGAGTTGGCGGTAATTGACCAATTAGTACTAATTGGGTTTCTTTTATCTTACCGACAAATTGAAGTCGTGGGTGTGATTGGTACTTGGACAATGGACAGTGATACTTGGACAATGGACAGTGATACTTGGACAATGGACAAAATGGTCAATAACAATGATTTAACCCATACAGCTCTCTTTAGAGCTTTAAATTTAATAAGTGAAACGAGACATTGACTAATGGATTTTTATTTGTATAAACTTTTTAAATTTGTTTTGTTTTAATTTTATTTGTTTTAATGGGTAATTAATTAACAGCAGGAAAGGATTCCCTTTTAATCTGACGATGGCAGTGCGCGAAAGGTACAGTACTTTTTCATTTATTTTAAAAAGAGAAGGTTAGAGACGCAGAATGCAATGTGACTCTAATCCTCTTCTTTATTTTATAGAAATCCTGAATTCATTTCTCTGGCATGCTTCAGGAACAGTGGTCTAAGATGACACTTGTGTCTGAATACAATTAAATAAAAAATAGTCCCGGAAGGGTTTCGTACCTTCAACCTTGTAATAAAAACCTTTAATCTAGCCCAGACTCTTCCGAATGAGCTACCGAGACATGTACTAAAATTTGATTGTATGTATTGATCTTTCTTTTATTTTAATTTTCGCTTTGAAATTTCTTTAATTTCTCTTCTTACACTTTTACTCTCTTGTTCTCTCTTATATTACTCTCAAATATTTGGTATGAATAAAATGTCTTTTATTAAAAAATTATTGGCATAATGTTTTTGCGTTATTTTTCATTTTAAATTGTACCGAACCAAGCGCATACTCAATATTTATCTGATGGATTGCCCAAGAGTGGCCGCCATTATTTTTTCAAACGAAAGAGTAGGAGAAAGAGAGAGAGTATGTAGACAAAAAAGAAAATGAGCGAGCAGAGGGATGGGATGAAAGTAAGATAAATGAGTGAGAGTAAATTAGGGGAAAATCTCTTTATTTGAAATAATGTGGAAAAGTCATTGCGTAGTGTTAGGGACTATATAAATTTAAAAATAAAATTCTAATGAGTAAAATATGGGAAAATTGAGAACCATAAAATAAAATTCTTCATAGATTTTTATTAAATTTTATTTAAATTAAATTATTACAATTAAAGTTGAGTAAATATTTAAAAAATACAATTAAAAAGAATGATTGATAAAAAAAAGTTTATTTTTTGTTATAAGGTGCGATTAAATCTGTTACCATACAATTCTTTTTCACACAACCTGTACATAGTTCAATCTTCATCTCAACTCGATCATTATTCATTTTCACCTTGTCTTGACTTTTGAAGAGCTGATCTCGACAAGATGTACACAAGTAAAAGGTGAGGAGAAACTTTCCGCGAAAGAGCTTCCAAAGAGCAGGTTTAGTAAGAGCAGGCTTTTTAAATAACTCAGAAGCCTGCTTTGCAGGTTTTTTTAATTCTGGAGATTTCTCAATAATCTTAATCGGAGTATTTTCTCTTTTTATAATTTTTGCAGGAATTTCGGGAGGAGGAATTGTAGGATCGAAAGGAGCAATTTCATTATTATTAATATTATTATTAATATTATTATTATTATTCATTTTAGCTCAGAATAAAAATTTTGTAAAAATAAAAATAATGAGGAGCTAATTACTCAGATCCTCACTTATATACCAACCAATGACCTTGAAAACCGAGTATTTAAGACGCCAAAAAATTCAAATTTATTCATTTGGTAATTATTCAAAACAAAATGGTCCTCCTCTCTGAAGAGTGCGCTCACATTTTAAATTGTCCTCTCAAATCCCTGAGGGAGCAGCTCTTTCACCCGAAAAATAGAATTTTAATTTTGAAAGAGCTTTTGGGGCGCAAAGTACGCACCACATATGAAGACAGAAATGGAAATATAAAAATGTTCAAAATTGGAGGACTTTCAAAATATGGAGCAAATGTCACTCAAGCTTATGGACGCCTTCCTCGTCCTTTCAATATTTCTGTGGCTGCTCATTTTTATGCACGCCACCGAATCCGCCTCCAACACCCATTCCTTCATTGTATTATCGAACGATTTCCACGTCACATGGAGAATCGCTACTACCCTCTTGAACTTCTTGAACTTGTTGAGGAGGAGCAAAGTGAACGATCAACTCCGTCTACTCTCAAACCTCTGATATTTCGATGTGGCTCAAGTTCTGAAGAAAATGACGAAGAGGAACTTTCATTGGCTGAACTTAGTCTAGGTTGGTAACACACACACACCCTTCTAATACATATACCTAAAATATTTTTTTATCCAAAATTTCAATTTTTGTTAAATTTTCATCTTATAATTCTTAATTATGCTTTTTCACCCCTAAAAGTAAACACTTCTTTTCTTAAATTCTGCTTTTTCTTTAAATTGTAACTTCTATTTATTAATATTGCACTTTTACCCCTAAAAACGACAACTTCCTACTCTTAATTTTACTATTGATTTTTCTTTTGATTAATTATGCTCTTTTACCCCTAAAATTGAACACTTTGCTCTCTTAATTTTGCTCCTAATTTTTAACAAAATTGTAAAATTCAAATTTATTAAAATAAAATTAAAAATAAAATGAAACTAAAAATGACAAAGATAAATTTTGATAAAAAATTACAAAGGCGGTGAAATACGGGGACGGGTTGGATTATTGATATGTCCAAAATTCAAAACATTATAATTAGAAGAGTTAACAATTCCTTTAGAGACAACGGGTTTATAAGATTTATATGAAGGTTGAGAGAAAACAGAGCCTAATTTAATAGAGGGTCTGAGAGTGTTCGGATATTCTATAATTATAGGATCAAAATCACCAGTTTTTCCAAATTTTAACACTTTTTCCTTAAAAGTTTGGTAACGGAGTCCTTGATTCTCGATGACATCCCAATTTAGAGTCATACCCCTAACTTTTAGCACATACTCCGGCTCTGCTTCAGGCTGCTCCTTTCTCTGAAGTTTGAGTCCATATTGTTTGGATCCTCCACAGCAAAACTCTATGATGTCGTGAGCCGGGTACTCATCAGTGAACTCACCCAGGTGAGGTCCGAGTTCAAGAGGATAGACGTCTTCCGGGTGAGAGAATATCAGAGAATCTGTATCTGAAAATTTAGAATTTTATTAGGAGCAAATTGTAATAATTACCTGTATAGAGCAGAGAGCAACCACTGGTCCGCACAACTTTTTGCATTGCTCGTAGCAAGTGAATACGTGCGGCTGAAGTGGTCCATAGAGACACAACTAAATTAAAAAATTAATATTTTCAAATTTCAAATATAATAAAAAGCTCTTACCGACGTTGGAGCAATCGTGCTCCTCAATCCAATCTCTCTTTTTAACATAGCGAAGTAGGAGAACCCCTGGTTGAAGCTCATCGACGGCTGATAAATCAATCGATGGATCATCTTTGTATTCACAAAATTCTGCAGGGTCATCGGTGACAAAACTTTGAGACAGTCCAAAATTCCTCAAGGAGAAACGTCCCCCTGAAAGTAAAAAATATTAAAAATTAAATTAAAAGAACTTACAAAGATTATTGAGCATTAATTTTGATTGAGTCCTCTTGCCTTTGTTCACAGCCATCTTTCTCCTGTCGATGCTGATTCCAAAAAGCTCCTTGCACTCGTTGATGAATTTTGTCTCTTTCTCCTCATTTTCTTTAATGCTGCTATCAAAACCAGAGCTGTGGATCTTCTGTGCCATAAATTCGCTGATGTATGGAGCGAAGAGCTTGTCGTCTGAGTTGATGTACTCCAAAACTCGGAAGAGTTTCGTAACTATGTATCCCTGAAAAATTAATTATTAAATTGAAGAGCAATATAAATTAGACCTCATCAAGAGCGACGTTGAGCTCAATTGATGTACAGGTAGAAACCCAGCCTCTTTGGAGATCGGTGTGGGAACAGTTGTAATTTGGGAGCACATCTCCAGTTGGGTATTTCCTGGCGCATGCTGCACAGAGTGTAAAGAGGAGACGTTCATCTCCATCAAGTTTCATAGGAAGAACAGCCACATCGATTTTCTTTGGAGGAATAACAAAAACCTTAAATAATAATTTTAATTTTAATTTAAAATATTAATTACTTTCAAAATAGACAGCTCAAATTTATTATCTGTAGATGTTGTCCAGAGCACATCTTTGTTCAAAATATGAACTTTTGGATGGCCGATAGGATACTTCGTTGTTACATTAATATAGGGGTAAAGAGAAGTTACGTCGTAGTAACTGATCTTTTCCCCTTTGGAAGAAGCATGGAAGAGCTTAAACGGTCCAGTTCTTCCTCCGAAGAAACATGATCGAATATCGATCGGACCTCCATCCATATAGTTGTTGAAGCTCCTTTTCATTTCTCTATTCTTGGACAACATATCCTTGATTTCGCACTCCCAATAGACTTTAATATTAATATTTTGTTGTTTGATGAAGTCTAGACGATATTTGTCGTGCTCCCTTTGCTTTCCTGCTGTTTTACCATTCGGGAGGAGCATGTTGTCTTGAGGGTAGCATCGGGAGCAGCCGTGCCACACACATCCATTTATTTCAATTCCAAGTTGTTGTTCCTTGACCCATCCGTCCAGACGATATTTGCCGACCATT